TCTCCTCCAGAGTCTTGGCTACTGGTGATTGTGGTGCCCCTTCCACTGCAGGAATTTGTGCCTCACCAGCTGGAAACCTCCCATAAATACCTGACTTTTCCTCCTGTTTATGGCTCTCTTGAATTCCTTTTCCTGGCAGTGTCATTTTTTTTTTAAATGCAATATTGTAATTGCTGCCTGAAGTAAAGAATGTTTCAAATTGCAGTTTGTGAAATAGGTTTTATGGAAGAAACTTGTATTATCAGCCCTGCTTAGTTACATGCACTCAGTAATCACTCTTTCCTGGATGTTTTTCAGAGTGCCACCTCCACAGAGGAGGTTGCTTTATAATTTGCGGCTTATTTTCAAATAATATACCTGTGCAGAAATTGCTGGGAGAGAGATTGCCATGGTATCTTTCCCTTAGATGCCACTGCTGGTTTTGCCCCAGAGGGCTCTGCCCAGGCTGCCCAGGGAATGGGCACAGCTCTGAGGCTGCCAGAGCTCCAGGAGGGTTTGAGCAGCACCCCAGGGATGCCCAGGGTGGGGTTTTTGGGGTGTCTGTGCAGGGACAGGAGCTGGGTTGGGTGATCCTGGTGTGTCTCTTCCAGCTCAGCATATTCTGTGATTCTATAAATCAACAGCAGCATAGCCAGATTAGACCTTAATTAAAACCTTAATTAAACCATCAGTGTGTGATGATCCAGAAACCTGACTTCTCATGGGCTGATGAGCTGGACAGCTCTGGGAAATTGGCCATGTGCCCCTGCCCTGCTCCCTTTGCATCTCTGCAGCATCACCAGAACTGCATCTCCCATCAATGTGCTGCCTGTAGTGTCTTCTGGCTCACTGCAAGGTGCTGGGTCTGGGGATTTTGGAAGGGATTGAAGAGAGACAAAGTCAATTGGGTTGCTAGGGAAAGAATTAAAATAGCTCTGACTGACCAGTGGATGCTGGGTGAGTGTCAGTGCCTGTGGAAGTCAGAGTCAGGGCACTGCTCTGGCTCCTGGGATGAGAATTTTGTGCAGCATAGAAGGGAGCATTGTGACCCTGTTCACAGGGGTCTGAGGGTGAGGGAAGAGATGAGGATCTGACTCCATGTTTCAGAAGGCTGATTTATTATTTTATGATATATATTATATTTCAACTATACTAAAAGAATAGAAAAAAGGATTTCATCAGAAGGCTGGCTAAGAATAGAAAAGAAGGAATGATAGCAAAGGTTTGTGGCTCAGCTCTCTGTCTGAGCCAGCTGACTGTGATTGGCCATTAATTAGAAACATCCAACATGGACCAATCACAGATGCACCTGTTGCATTCACAGCAGCAGATAACCATTGTTTACATTTTGTTCCTGAAGCCTCTCAGCTTCTCAGGAGGAAAAATCCTAAGGAAAGGATTTTCCAATAAAGATGTCTGTGACAGAGCATCTCTGAGAGCAGTAGCCTGGTGGAGCAGATCAGGCACAGACAGGGAATCAGGGGACCTGCAGTCTTCACTCCCCTGGCACTGCCTGCTATCATTTGCCTTTCTTATTAAGAACTCAAGCTTAGGGCAGAATGTTGTCCTTGTTTGTGTTAGTGCAGAGTAATGGGGTCCTGACCTCCATGGGGGCTTTGGGTGCCACTGAAATCACACACTAATAACAGTGGTGACCTGCTCTGTGCCTTACTGTTCCAGCATCCGGCTCCTGTTACAAGGAACAATTCATTCCAGGAGATGTGGTGGAAGTAACCACTAGAAAATACAGTTATAGTTGTTTTCATTCCTTTTTAATGCCAGCAATATATAAACATGGTTTTTCAGAAAGAAAAGGGTAGCCACTCAAGTACAGTAGTGCAGAGATTTGCAAGTGTGTTTAAAGATATTTGTAGGAAATGGCCATCTGAGCAGTTTTTATGGGCTGCTGTGCTCAGAGGATCTCAGATCCTGCATCTCTATAAGGGAGAGTGTCACAGACATCTTTTCATGAAAAATCCTTTCCTCAGGATTTTTCCTCCTGAGAGGATGAGAGGCCTCAGGAACAAAATGTAAACATTGATTTTCTGCTGCTGTGGAATGCAACAGGTGCATCTGTGATTGGTCTCATGTGGTTGTTTGTAATTAATGGCCAATCACAGTCAGCTGGCTCGGGCTCTCTGTCCGAGCCACAAACCTTTGTGATCATTCTTTTCTATTCTTAGCTTGGCTAGCCTTCTGATGAAACCTTTTCTTCTATTCTTTTAGTATAGTTTTAATATAATATATATAATAAAATAATAAATCAGCCTTCTGAAACATGGAGTCTCTTCCCTCATCCAAGAACCCCTGTGGACACCATCACAGGAGAGAAGCAAAAGTGAATTCCAAAACAGTGTTTCTGTCAGGAGCAGCAGAAGTCATGTCCTGAGATAAACAGCTCTCAGAGCTCCTCCTGCAAGGACAGGAATGTTCTCACCTACAGCTGGTGCTGGGGCAGGTGAGAAACCAGAGCAGCCAGAGAAGATTTAGAAATCTGCATGGAAAATCTGCCAGAACAGCAGGAAAACAATGGACTTTTGCAGTCCTGTTTCACTGCAAGGCTTGGAGAGTCCCAGAGCCAGGAATTTGCTGACACTGTCACATTCTCCATTCCTAGGCACTTTTAGCTGAGACAACTTACAAATGGTTGGGCTGGTAGCCTAAAGGAATTGCTGGCCTTTGCCAAGAGAGATAGAGGTGCCCAGAAGACTGGAGTGGATCAGTCACCACTATGTGGAGGTGTCAGGATGGATAATGAGCCTTTCTTCTCCTCCTGGAACTGCAGGAGCCTGCAGTGGGGTGGGAAATATCAGATAAAACCACTCTGACCACACATTGCCTGGAGTAACGAGCAGCAGCCTGGCAAAATCAAACCAATCTGGGAGATCAGAAGATGGAGTTGACAGCACAGTCTTATTTCTTCTAACACAGCTCACACTTCATGGGGGTATTCAGATGGTACAAAAATGAGGGGCGTCTGACTGTGCTGTTTATAGTAGAAAACCATTCTCCAACACCTATTATTTAGGGTCATAAGAGTAACTGCAGCTCAGCTGAAGGATAATTTGGAGTACTTCTGACTTTCACTTCAATGAATAGATTTTTAGCCATTTTCAGGCAGAAATTGTACCTTTCTCATTGCCTTTGTTGTGTGACAGTGTGGGGATTGCCTGTCTGATGGTGTAGAGCTCACCTCTTGCACACATTTACTGCAGGATTGTGGGAGAGCTTGTCAAATGAAGATGGAAATATGCAACTGATCCCTTATTTTATTTTCATTCTCAGGAGTCCCATTAATGCATTTCAGACCTGTGAGCACAGAAGTTATCAGTGAACTCTTAACTGAATGGGCAAATTGGTGAATGCAGCAGAATAGCAGAGTTGTCAGGGGCAAAAGCTGAAAATGATACGTGTGATTCCAAGAGCCAGCCCTTTTTGCTTGGTAATTTTTGTGTTTTGCTCTGAGTAAACCAGATTAACAGTTTAGCTGTAGGAGAAGTTAAATCATGCTTTTATCACTGCATCATCTCTTAAAGCATGCGCAGTTTAACGTGTGGCAAAGAGGCAAAACGCCGCCCCAGTGACAGTAACACTGCTGTCTCACCAACACATGGGCTTGACTGGATTTATCTCCCCCAGCAAGTCACTTTGAACAGAAGTGATTCAGATTTCCTGAAGATCAGCAGCACAGAGCTGCTAAAAGAGCAAAACATGATGATCTTCTGATGTCAGCCCCCTGTGTTCACCTTTGATTCCCTTTGCTATGTTTAAGCTGCATGGGAAGACCTGGCTGACTGCAGCAGCAAAGGTGACGCCCAAGATAAGAGTGGATCTCGTGTAACATGAATTCATTTAACTTGGTGAGCTGCAGTGGTGATATTTTTAGAAGTAGTTAAGTGTAACAGGAATATAATGAAGATAGGCTTATTTAGTCTTTAGAGTAGCCACGAGTCAAATCTTGTGGGGCTTTCTAAATCGAGCTCAGTGGTTTAAGCTATATCTGGAAATATTCTGTGCAGCAAGCAGTGAAGTCAGCATAGCCAAGGTCTGTAATGAGGACTAATGAGGTCTCAGCAATAGGGTAGAGGGCAGCTGTCTCCAAGGTGCTCAGTTAGAGCAGAAATGCTGTGCAAATAATGCACCTAAATATGGTTTATTTTCAGGTGTGTAGATTTCACTCATTAAAAAAAAACAAACCAACAAACCAAAACCCCCTAAAATTTCAAATAGAAATTATGCTCTCTGGTTTGGGCTGAAGAACTCATGCCTGGTATGTGGTATAAAGGGTGCTGAGGAACAGGAATTGGCTGTCCAGAGAAGCTGTGGCTGCCCCTGGATCCCTGGAAGTGTCCAGAGCCAGGCTGCATGGAGCTCCAAGGTTTATCCTGGTCTAGTGGAAGGCGTCCCTGCCCATGGCAGGAGGTTGGAATGAGAAGGGCTTTAAGGTCCCTTCCTACTCAAATCATTCCATGATTCTGTGTGGAGGGTGCTGCTCTATATGTTGGATTAATGCTTGTTACATGTGTATCTGTAATGGGATGTTTAAAAAAGCCAGGCCTCCAATACACTGAGAAAAACAAATGTGAGCTGATTTTGGAGGGAAAAAAGTTTCTGCCAGAAGAAATATTATAATTACATGTTACTGTGTTCACTATTTCAAGGAGTAAGGATTTCAAGTCCATTTAAACTATTTGAGATTAAAATTAGAACTGTTGTTCTCCTGTTTCTGGGTACATGCTGAGTGCTTCAGAAGAGTAAATGCCCCATTACAGTATAACTTAGTAAAATATTAGTGCCATTTGCACTACACTGGGATTTTACACCCTATTACTGCTCTGAATTATCTGTCATTAGCCCTCATTAAAGGCAGATTTGGTTAGATGGACAATTGTCTATTGCAATTTGATTGCAAATATGTTGTTAGGCTTTCAAATGAATATTTAAAGTGGATCATTGCACAGTTTGCCTAGAAATGCCTTTTTTTTTTTTATCTTGTCCTTCCTCTCCCTCCATGTTTTAAGGAGCTTCCACCCAGAATTCCAACGCAGTGGAACCTGAAAAGCAAGTGGACAGCACGGTGAAAATGGCTGGAGTTATAGCTGGTCTCCTGATGTTTGTTATTATCCTCTTGGGAGCAATGCTTACCATCAAAAGAAGGTAAGTTTCTGCTTTGCTTCCATCTTGGACCTCTTGTTGTAGTTTCTGAAGGAAGAATAAATAAAGATAAAACATTCTTTATGTGTGACACAGAGCAGCAATTAATGCCTGTGTAACACTGACACTAAGGGTCCAGAGGAAATTCCAGTTTTGGGACATCCAGCAACAAAAGAATGGCTGTTACTGCAAAGAGATAATGATAAATAATTGATAATTAATGTCAAGGGATAAGTCACAAAGTAGCATGGGATAAAGGGGATATAATGAGAACCTCTCCTACCAGGAAAGGCTGAGAGACTTGGGATTGTTCAGTCTGGGGAAGAGAAGGTTTGGAGTGACCCAGTTGTGGCCTTCCAGTACTTGTAGGGAGCCTGTAAGAAAGATGGAGAGAGACAGCACAAGAAAGATGGAGAGAGACAGCTCAGAAGGGCCTGGAGAGACAGGACTGCTGGGAATGGCTTCAAACTGATAGATAGGAGTGTCAGATTGGATATTAGGAAGGAATTCTTCCCTGTGAGAGAGGTGAAGCCCTGGCACAGGGTGCCCAGAGAAGCTGTGGCTGCTTCATCCCAACCATTTTTCCAACACTTTAGTTTTTGATACTTTGGCTGTCATGACTGCTACAACCTAAGTTATTATCTCCCAGATAACACAGACAAACCCCCAGGAAAAATTACTCCTAATGCAGAATGAGTCCCGGAGGCTGGACACAGAGGATCCATTGCTCTGTGTGAAAGTTCCCCAGCTCCTGCTGAGCTGAGCTGGCCCCTCAGACAGTGCCCAGGACCTTCAGCTGAGCTTGGCAGGCCCCTGGAGCAGCAATGTTTGCTGAATTTGGGGGTGTAGTCCCACTCACAGAACCTTGCTCTGGCTGGTTTTGCCATAGGCTCTGTAAACCTGGGCAATTTTCTTCAAAGTTAACATTGGAAGGGAGGTGAGTGGGAGTATTAGAAATCTAAATTCTCCCCTTTTTTCCCTAGAGCTGGAAAATTACAGTTTCCTCTGTGTTGTTTCCACGGCCCCTCCCAGGGCAGACAAGCAGAATCCCTGCAGTCTGTGTCTGTTTGCTGCAATTTGCAGGGATACCTGCTGTAAGGAACACTGAAATAAGGAATAAACTGCCTCATTGACTTTAAAATCTTCTCCCATTTAGAATCTGTGAGTGCAGGATGAGGTGTGGGAGGCTGCAGCACACCTCCAGCACCTCCAGAGCTGCTGGTCACATCCCTGCTGGGCTGCCTTGGATGGGCACCACCAGCCATGTCCAGCTCCATATGGACAATGTTCCCTGAGGATGAACCTCAGCCTGTCAGGCTCATTGCATTTGTAAACCAGTGTGGGTTGGGACTAGCTTTTATAAAAGGAGAAGCTGATTTGGGCCACAAATGGATTGGAGCTTCTGGAGGAGCAGAGCTGAAAGCTTGAGCTCTTCTGAGAGAGCAGTTTAACAGCAGAGTTCTCCTTTGATTTTGCAAACAGAGGCATTTGGACCTTAAGCTCTTGCATTCCATGTTTGCATCAGCCTCATTTTAAAAACAGTTCCCCTCCCAGTGCACCAAGGCCTTGGTGTACAAATAGTGTAGTCTTGCAAAGCAATAATTTAGAAATTGAGCTGAACTTGAGATGCTGTCTCCAAATGGAGCTGGAAAATATCCCAGTGACATTTGCCCATTGTCCAGGGCATCACAGCTCATTGGGAACAGGCACAGGATTTCCTGGATGAAGCATTTTGTTAACAGAGAGCAAAGAGAGGCATTAGAAGAGGAGGAAGACATTGGTTTGAGATAAGCATTGGTTTCATCAAGAGCCTCTTCTTGTTCTGCGGCACTCACCAGGTTGGCAGCACAGGGCTTGGAACCTTTCAGACACAGGGCATGAGCAAGCAGTGCCCAGTTGTTCACAGTTTCAGAAGAAGAAATGGCAAAAATTCCAGGAACTCAAAAGTTTCTGGGGGCTGATAAAGTGTTAGAGGGTTCAGTTAGGTATGTGAAACTAAATTAAGCCAAGCAGTGTATTAATATAGTGAAAAATTTGGGTTTGATGTTATGTTTGTCTGAAAGTTTTGGTTGAAACTTAGGATTGTCTAAAATCTGCTAAAGTTTCCATATTTATATATCTATATCGAAATTGTGTGTACATATAAATTTCTGTTTTAAACATGACTGTCTTACAGTATTTAAAATCAAAACCATTAACAGTTTTCTTGGTTTTGGGAACCCACTAACTCCAGGAGTTAGGCCATAGTATCATCATTACATGTATATGAAATGTAAAAATTACTGCAACATAATGGAGAAAAACCTCACACAAGGACATGGAGGGATAGAACAAGGGGGGATGGCTTCAAACTGAAGGAGATTAAATTTAAATTGAATATCAGGAAGAAATTCTTCACTCTGAATGTGGTGAGGCCCTGGCACAGGGTGCCCAGAGCAGCTGTGGCTGCCCCTGGATCACTGGAATGTCAGGTTGGATGGGGCTTGGAGCAGCCTGGGACAGTGGAAGGTGTCCCTACCATGGCAGGGGGTTTTGAATAATCTTTAAAGTCCATTCCAACCCAAACTACTCTGATTCTGTGATAATTTAACCTGTTAATTTAGAGGTGGTCATCCGTGCCTACATGAGTGTCTGTGCTCACAAAAGGCAGAACCACATTCTTTCATTAACAGATACATATCCTGAAAGATCTCATTTTTATTGTATGAAAATATTTCTAATCCTCTAAGCAGCTTATTGTTTTTTCCTTAATATTATTTAAATACATTTGTGTAAGAGAGAATAGAGAATCATTTTGGAAAAACAAAACAAGAAAACCAAGATATTTTTCAGGAGAAAATACCCTTTGACTTTTGACCCTCCCCAGATTATTTGATTTGGGTCTGCTCTGATTTCATCTGGGCAGTTTTAATTCTGGTGTAATCATGCCTTGTGTTTCCCTGGAGTGAAGAATGTGACACCTCTCAGGCTGGTGTGTTTGAGCAGACAAAGCCTCCACTGACCCCTTTAAATATGAGACTGAATAAATAGGATCAGACAGCCTGTCATGGATGCACTGTAAATAAGTTCTTTAAACTGCTGTCGGTAGCAAAAAAGGAGATTTGGGGCTATGTAGGGTCTAGGATTATTTCCTCCTATGAAAATTCAGCTCCTTATTCTGGATTAGGATTTAGGTGGTTACCTTAAACTAATTAAATAAAACCCCAAAGCCTCTTGGGCAGAACATACCCAGGCTGTAGGACAGAATTAGGAAAAGGGACATTTGCACATTGAGTGACCTGTGTCCCCCCTGTATCCCTGTTTCAGGTGGGAGACAGGCAGGGCTTTGGGCTGTGTTCTATTTTCAAGGACCAGGTCGTGTTTTTACTGAACCATAACTCTGACCAGCTCTCACAGTTAAGCTTTGAAATATTCTTTAGTAGTCCTTATTTCAGGTTGCATATTTTGGAAGAATTTAAGCCAAAATGTCCAATTTCAAAACACAATCCTCCTTTTGTTTGTCTTCCTTTATTTTCTGTCCTTATGGAGCAAACCTTTCTGAGCTTTCCCCTGCAGCCTGGAGGGATGTGCAGCTTTTTAATGAGGGCTGAGAGTCTGGTGGGATCCCAGATGTCTGTGGCCCAGCCAGGAGAGCAGCAGAAAGAACAGCAGGATGTTCAAGGGGACACTTCCAGTCAATAGAGCTGTGTGATCCCAGGTCTGGCCTCTCCCAGGGCTTGGTTTAATGGAATTATTTGGGGGATTTCAGGGGTTCAGCTGTGTATACTCTCATTTTCTACATCTTGGTCATGTTTCCCTTTGTTTAGAGGCTGAGTGGAATTTGGATTTTCTAAAGCTCAGTGGCAATCACTGCACCTTAACTGGTGCATTTCTAGGGCCTGTAGAATTGCTGCCTTCAGGAGATAATAGCATTTAGTTAAAATACATCCAGGTGTACCATGGAATCAGTGCCCTTCAAACAATGTGGTGTCAAAGCCCAGGACATTCCTCTGGAGGCCCTGGGTGATTCAAGACCCTGGCAGGGGGCTCAGAGACCCTGGCACAGAGTCAAACACACCCATGCCTTTGATTTTAACCCATGGAAACAATTACCAACCTTGTGTGAAGAGTTACAAGCCACAAGAGTTTGAGTAGAATAATTGTGAATTTATCACAGGGTGAAAAAGTAGAATTTTGGGGGTTTAGAATGGGGGTTCAAGAGGCAAGATGGAGGAATCTGGGTGTGTCCTGTCCTCCTTCTTCTTGTCCTCCATCTTCTGCTGTGATGGTGGTACTTTTGGATTGGTTTAGAGTAGGGACAGACTGTCTAACATAGGTGATAGGTATTGGAAAATTATTGTAAATAAAGTATGCGTAGTTTTTAGTATAAAAAGCCAACACCACTCCAAGGGCAGGGACTGTGCCACAACCCGACCTGCTGGACAGATCTCAGCAGGTCACAGAAAGAATGGAATAGATAAGAGAAAATAAACAACCTTGAAAAGCAGAGCTGAGGAATTTCAACTTCTTCAGTCGTGGGACTGGGAAAAAAGAGACTTTCTGATACCTCAGGGCCATCTCAACCGCAGAAACCCAAGAATGTGGCATGCATCAGAAATCTGGCCAAAAGAGCAGGTTTCTCACAAAGGCCATCATCAGGAAAACCATGGCACTTCAGTGAAACCCTCATGAACTCTTTACCCCAGGTGTGCACACACAGAGGGTGATTGTGCAGAGTGACTGAGCTGAACCTGCTTCCACCTGTGCTTATGGAAGTTGTGCTCAGAGCAATTATAAAAGTGAGGACCTGAAAGCTGCATTTGTATTTCTAAGTGATTCCTAGTCATCCTAGTATCTTCAAGGATGAGCTTTTAAAGCTGTGCAATAAGTTGAAATTTGTGTTTCATTTTCTCTGTCTTGACCACGGCTGCTGCTTCTGTGGCTTCTTTTGTCTGGTGGTAAATCTCTAATTCCCTGGGCTAGGTCTGTTGTGAAGCAGTCTTTTCAGAGAAGCCCCTTTCCAGCTATGAAAGGGTAAATATAACTTCTTAAGCTACAATTGAATGCCAAGGCTCAGTTTGTGGTGCTGCTCAAAATTTTGTGAAATGAATTGTTGAGAAACTGTGGTAGAAAATGCTTAATCACAGTGATGCAGAAAGCTAATGCATGCCCCCAGTGCTCAGCTATAAATATGGAGTGATGCTTGAATTGTTAATGAACTATTTGCATTTTAGAGTTTGATGAAGCTTGATAGCTTGATTTATCATTAGACAATTTGCTCATTGTCTAAATATTCCAAAATTGTGGCACTCTTACATTGTCACTTCCCTATTTATTGTTATTTGTATTAATAGCTCTGACATCTTTTTCCATTTCAAAAATATCAAAGCACTTGAGAGGCAAAATTAAATCTATTTGCCCATGGTACTGACATGATAAAGTGAGGGAATTAAAGGTGAGGGGATTTATTCATGGTGGCAGAAGTGGAAACACAACCTGTCTCCAGTTCAGTTTCTATTTATTCTCACCAATGTACAGCTCCTGAAACAAGTGTAGGCAAACAGGATCTCAGTACAGAAAACAGCACAAACACTTTATATATTGAAAAAGAAACCTGGAGTTCAACTAAATCTAATTATGTGCTTTTCTCTTTTTCTCCTTTTGGATATTTTGTTCATTTGACTGGCCATCCATATTTAGAAGAAATGCATATTCCTACTCCTATTACTTGTAAGTACTTGACTGGGGATGAGGTTTTTTGAGCATGTTCACCCTGTGGTAATTTTGTGCTTTGTTTTATTTTTTTTATTTTTGTTTCTCTTTTTTTTTTTTTTTAATTTTTTACCTCTCCATTTATCCTTGTCCTTCCAGCAGAATGTGTTTTATTTTCCCAGTTGCACGCTGTTATGTTTTCCCCATTTTCCCACTGCACCTGTAGCTGTGCCTGCAAACATATGAATGTCCACAGGTATGCCAGTTATGGTTCATAACTCTTCAAACTGGATATTCATCTTTAGATTGGATATCAGGAAAAATTTCTTCACCAAAAGGGCTGTCCAGCACCAGAACATGTGGCCCAGGGAAGTGATGGAGTCACCACTGAGGCATTTATTTAAAAGTTGTGTAGATGTGGCACTTGGGGACAGGATTTAGGGATGGACACAGCAGTGCTGGAGGAACAGTTGGACTTGATGATCTTGGAAATCTTTTCCAACATAAATGATTCTATGATTCTGTAAATGCTAATGAACAAATACAGAGCGTCCCAAGTGCACCTTTTTAATTGCCCATTGCTTGTGGCCACACTTCAGGGAAATTCACACCTGAAAGTGATTGTTGGGAATTTCTCAGACATGGGTTTAAGCTTTTTAAAAACCTTAATGTTTCTGACAACTGGGAGTTGACATTATCCCAGCAAACATCCCTGTTCCTGGAGCTGCCAGGTTCTGAGTGTTGGTTTAGATCATTGGATGATGAAGTGGTTCAGATATTCAGATCTAAATCACCTGTCCAGTCCTAATGACAATGCTGCATAATTAAGGCAGTTGTTAAGGCACATGAAAATGCTTCACACATCAGTACTTCCAGAGCCATCTGTTGCCTAAAGACTGAGGGGCTGGGAAGCAATCAGGGCCAAGCTGTTTCTGCCATGCTAATGGTTGTCTGAGGATCTGGGGGAGGAGAGGGCTGGATCAATGATGTGAGGAAAAAGTCCCGGAGAAGCGAGCTGAGGCCTGTGCTGCCATCAGAGGGCTGGGAGGGATGGGGAAGGCAGCAGCTGCTGGGGACAGCAACAGCTCTGCCCTCTCCAGCTCTCAGCAGCAGCACGAGCTCTGTCACTGGCACCATCCCTTCCCCAGAGCCTGCCAGGCTTGTCAGGGCTCTGAAACCCACCGAGCTGTCCAGAGGGCCACACCAGCCCTGACAGCCCCTCCTGGTCTGCTGCTGCAGGATCTGCCTCCTTTGCCCTCCCTGCAGTTCCTCCTTGGCTCATCTTGGTGCTTTGTTCTGGAAGGTTTCAGCAGGTCAGCAGAATGAGAGGGTTCATGTGCTGCCATTTTAACCAGAGCTGATTTCTTTTCCATACAAATTGCTTTATGTCCAATGAACAGGGCAAAGGATTTCTTTTCCATATGAGTTGTTTATGTCCAAAGAACAGGGCAAAGGAGGATCCCTACTCACCACAGCTTGGAGGGGTTTTGTTTCTCCATGACCTGTCAGGAAGCTCTTGAAGGAGGAACCTTTCCCACTTCCCAAGCATGTGAGGAGCCTTAGGACACCATCAGGAGTCTTGACTTTGCCCAGTGATGTAATTGTAAATGCAGAGTAACTCCATTTCCTCTAGACCTCCCACTGGTTCACCCAGAATGGAATTTGACCTCAAGTAGTCAGATTAAAGAGGAGGTTAACTCAGTGTAAAGTAGGGGCTGGTTCTAACCCAAAAGTGCTAGGAGCTAGTTGAATTTATTGCTAGAACCTTTCCTCTTCTGCACATTTCTCATGTTTTACTCTTTGGTTTCCTTACAACCAGTAGCACCACTGCCTGAGACATTCAGTGCCGTTATAATTCTGTCTTTTTCCAGCAGGCAGTGTGTGGTCAGCATGTTCTCTGCTTTATTTTATTTTGAGATCTGTGTGTTTAAAGAGATGAATCAACTTCCGAGCCCTCTGTGACCCATTTTACAGCTGCACAACATTGCTTTAAGCAGTCAGCTGAGGATTGTTCTGCCAGAACAAGCACAAGGGTCTGTTTGCTGTGGGTCGCTTTGCCAGACCCCTTTTCCTCAGGGATCAGTGCAGTGACTCAGGAAAAGTGGAGAGAAAACCCTCAGGAGGGTCACCCCAGCCTGGGGTTGCAATGAGCTTCAGCAGAGGCAGAAGGAAGGGCTTTAATAAGGTTTAATGAGGCAGATGTCCACCATGCAGCACATCACACCAGGGAAAAGCCAGAGGCGCCATCAGGCAAGCTGAGTGTTCGTAGGAGCCACTGGAGGTTGGGGCTCAGCTTGCAGAATTCACAGAGTTTTCCTCCCCAGTACCACACCCAAAATGCTCTGCAAGGAGCTCACTCTTAGCTCTGGTGCTGTCCCAGGGACGGCTCTGCAAGCTGGAGGCACCACATCAGCAGTGACCTCACCATAGACACTGCCAGCACCTGTGACCGTGTTCACAGGGGTCCCAGGATGAGGGAAGAGACAAGGATCTGACTCCATGTTTCAGAAGGCTGATTTATTATTTTATGATATATATTATATTAAAACTATACTAAAAGAATAGAAGAAAGGATTTCATCAGAAGGCTAGCTAAGAATAGAAAAAGAAAGAAAATTATAACAAAAGCTTGTGTCTCAGACAGAGAGTCTGAGCCAGCTGACTGTGATTGACCATTGATTAGAAACAACCACATGAGACCAATCACAGATCCACCTATTGCATTCCCCAGCAGCAGATAACCATTGTTTACATTTTGTTCCTGAGGCCTCTCAGCTTCCCAGGAGAAAAAATCCTAAGGAAAGGATTTTTCATCAAATGTGTCTGTGACATGCACCAGGCTCTGCATGCTTGGCTCACATCAGGTCTGTTCCCTGCACTGGGAAAACCAAGCTCTGCTTTGGAATTTTTCCCCCTTGAGCAACAATCAAGGTAAAAGGGATGTTCCAGTAGTGAGGGAAGGAAGCAGGAGAGCCCATGAAGGAGCACACAGTGAAGTTCTACTGAGTTTCATGTTTCAAGTTTCACATGAGATAGGGTGTTTCATTGAAATTGCTAAGGACTGTGCAATTCTTATCCAAATTTGATTCAAATTGCCCTGGACTCCTATGAGCAGAGAGGTTGGATTTCAGTTTATTTGAAATGTTGTGGAAATAACAGCAGTAATATGGATATAAACAGATTTTTTTTAAAAAAGAATTGGTTTCTATGCTATGACGTTGCATGAATTATTTAGTCCTGAAGCAAAATTCAGTTGAGTGAGCTACCAGTATTGAAAAGCTGGTTCCCAAATAGATCTGCTGGCAGATCTTTAAATGTGACCATATGGACTGTATCCCTTCATGTTTGGTTTCAGTTTCTGGACTTCAAAGCTGTGTTTCTTAGAGCAATTCTTGTCTGCTTTCAGATAATTCCTCCTAAGTATTTGTCATCTTCTGAACAGGCATTTCTTCTTGTTAGGGACCAAAATCTCCTATCCTAACTCTTCCAAACAGTTCTATAATGATAATTCTATAATGATAATTCTATTAAATTCCAAGCAGCTCAAAATGATAATTCTGTTAAAGTCACAGAGACTTTTTTGAGGAGTACCTGGTCTTTACAGAGACAGGCCACAACATTTTGGTCATCTCTAGACTAGAGCTCTGCCCTCAGCCAATCTTGTGTTCTGCTGCAGTTCAGGACTGGAAAATCTGATTTTGTGAGGTGGTTGAGTACCTGCAGCTCTGACTGGTGAGACCAGTCCAAAATATTCACTTACAGGAGCAGCTGTTCTGGGCATGCATAGTTAGTAGGTAAATAGTTGTGGGATTCTTGTATAGCTACACTTGACTGAAAACTTCCCACAACATATAGGAAAGGATGAAAGAGAAGGCCATAAAGATCTTTAACATGCTTTAAATGGAAACACAACCCAGGAGACTTCGATTCCTGACTTATAACTCCTTGTGCAGGGTCAGCATCATATTGGGTACCTCAGTTTACCCATCAGCAAAGTAAAGATTGCTTGTGGGTTGAGATCCTGTGAGGAGAAAGAGATGGAATTAGGATTTCTTGTCCTGGTGCGCTCCTTGCATCCCTGTGCCTGAACCTTTCCAGAGGAGTTACTCTGTATTTACACCAACACAAATGGTGTCTGAGGCTGGGACAGAATTGCTGCTTTCTCTCTGCACTTCAGTTTAATGTGCAGTGTAAGGTATCAGCCCAGCCAGGTCTGGAAGATGTTGGTTTTATTCCCAGCTGAAGCTGTAAAGCACAGACAGCAATTCATCCAGTTTACAGAAGGGTTTGCACCTAGTGACAGACACCTCTTTTGCAGCAGTATTTTCAACTACAGCAATCCAAATCATGATTTTATTATCTGCTCACCAGGAAAATAAATGGAAATGTTTTCTGTGTGTGGGTTGTTTGTTTTGGTTTGTTTCTTTCTCCTGGGCTGGGTAATGGCTGCAGAATGAAATTTAATCAAGAGCAATATGAGACCAGGGAAGAATTTCTGGAAATACAGAGATTCATGTATGTGTTACAAGCGCTCAGTTTAATGTTATTTATTAGAAAAGAGTACTCAATGGCCAAGATGTTTTCCTTTTCCCTGAACTGCCCAGAGCTCCAGGGACATGATTGCAATGTAGGAAGCCCCTTTAACTCCCACTGGAATTTCACACCAGTTTTAATTGTTGGGTCATTTTAGCTGGGAGTTTCTTTCCATGGGAGAGATTGCAAAGGTTATTAAGCTAAATTTATACTTAGATTTTTTTGAGATATCAAAGTTTATGCTGAATTTATTGCCACCATCTGTGGGACATTTGAAAAGAAAAACATCCCTTTATTTTATTTAGAAGTGTACCTCTGTAGAGCCACATTCACACATAAATATCTCCAAGTATTTCCATGGATGGTGGGATCTGCCTGCACAGGTCAGCTTGCTAAATCAAGAATTTAAGAAGAAACATTCTCATTAGGTGCTTTTCTCATCAGATGATGGAAAAACAGGATCATTAATCAGTGGCTATGCTTGTCTAATGAAAGCAAATTAAAAAATAATATATCAAAATGCAGAAAGTGGATGAGGTGATATTTAGAATATGTCTGTGTGGTGATTGCAAGCCTCAGCCTTGCAGAGGGCAGGGTTTGTGGGTGTCTGTACCAGCAGAGACTAATACTGCATGGCTCCCACGTGCACCTGGCTTGTCTAAAATCTGGTTGAAAGTAAAACTAAAAAAATAAATATTAAAAAAAATCCCCCACAAGTAGTGATTAATTTGATCAAGTGAAGCTTAGATCATCCTCTCAAGAGCCTGTGCTTGTACACCCACAGTACAAAACACTCAGGGCATTCTTTTGACTTATCTCTACTTCACTTTCTCCTGCCCTGTGAAGTTTGCTCTGTGACATTGGCCTTTGCTCTTCCCTACACTTTTATACACCTTTACTACAGCAACCTCCCTCTGCTGCTGCCACAGCCTGGCTTCAGCAGAGCAGGTGTTGAAAGCAGGTTCAGGAGGGGCAGGTGAGGAAGCACACATTTAATCCAGAGCATGGAGCAGGTGTGTGACAGAGCATTGCTCTGAGCTCCCACTCCTCTGGCTCTGCTCACACCCCTCTAGTGACCAGCATTTCCCTGCCTGCTGCCCCCCTGGCTTCAGAGATGGGCAGCTCCTCCTGCACGGAGCTCTCCCCCAGTTTAGGATGAGCAGCTTCCCCAGAGCTTCCCACTCCCCAGCCCCTGCAGGCAGCGAGAATGTGATGGTGTTCACAGGGGTCCCAGGATGAGAGAAGAGATGAGAATGTTGACTCCATGTTTCAGAAGGCTGATTTATTTTTTTATGATGTATATTATATTAAAACTATACTAAAGAATAGAAGAAAGGATTTCATCAGAAGGCTAGCGAAGAATAGAAAAATAATGATAACAAATGATGTGACTGATCGAGACAGTTTGGACAGCTGGGCTGTGATTGGCCAGTAATTAGAAACCAACATGGGCCAATCACAGATGCACCTGTTGCATTCCACACCAGCAGATAACCATTGTTTACATTTTGTTCCTGAGGCCTCACAGCTTCTCAGGGAGAAAAAATCTTAAGGAAAGGATTTTTCATGAGACGTGTCTGTGACACGAGAACAACTCCCGTCTGGTGTCTTTTCATGTCTGAAAGCCTATCAGCCCTATCTGATTTCCTCTTCTCTAGATTAAAGGTCCACATTTCCTTTGGCCTTTGCTTGTAGATCATGTTTCCAGCTTTACCTTTCCTGTCCTTTGTGTGAGCCCCTGTGGCACGTGTCTGATTTGAAGAGCAGTGTTGGCAGCAGAGCTCTCTCCAGTCCTCAGGCAGAGCAACAGGATCACCCAGTTAGTGATCACCAGTTACAGTGCAATTTCCTTACTTTCAAACCAGCATGAAATCATTATTCCAAATTGGATTTGTCATCTCCTACAGATTTAGGGCATGGAGATCCTTTCCAATAGATCTGCTGTTTGACCAGTGCTTCCTGGGATTTGCATGGTTCATCACTGCCTGCCTTGAATTGGAGCAGATTCCATCACAAATTACAGGTGTACTCCTAGGAGTTTGCTACGCACAATTCTCTAAAAGGAATTTTTTTTTTTTTTTACTTTCTCAAATTGCTTATTGAAAATGAGCAATACGCAATTTGTGTCTGTAGGAGGAAATTTCATGTTTAACTTACATGATCTATACCTAATGTCTAAATTACCTGTGCATGCAAATCTACACTACAGTGTACAAAATCCATCCTTAGAAACATCTAAAATTAAATCTGTCAACGTACGTGCACGAGAGTTCTCCAGGAGTGGCAGTTACAGATTTAATGTTCATGCATGTAGAATTGATAGAAAAAGTTAGAGAAGAGTTTGAAGCTGCTTTTAAAAAATAATCCCTGACAGTCATCCAAACCTCCATGAAACAGGAATCTGATCCTGCAGATAGTTCTAACAGAAAATATTGCTGGAGCTTCCTGATTAATGCCCGTGGCAGTAAATGGTTTGTGCTTGATACCAGGTTTGCATTCCTTGACTGTTTAAGTAGAACTCCCACAATTTTAATATAGTGCTTCAGATTTTATTTCTAGTCTTTGATAGGAGTAGAAGTTTCAAAAAATAACCAAATCAAATCTCCATCTTTTTTTTTCCCCTCAAATTCACACTTGTGTTCACTGCCAATGGCTTTTCTCCTTGCTTTAGTGGGGTCAGCATCAACTGCCTGATTATACAGCTGGTTTCATTTTTTCACTCAGCTTTGAGCATCTTTCTGTCTCACCCCTCCTCTGTGTGTGTGTGCTGCTTGCAAACATCATCTTTTCATTTCCAAACTGAAAAGAGCAACCCAGTAAACTCCATCCATGGATTCCTGCCTCCTTCTTGCCACATTTCCCTTTACCCTTGGATGTAAACCAGCATTGAGATCATTTTATTCCCATCCTGACATTCCGTGTCGATTGTATCAGACTCTTCCCCCCAATATCTGCCTGGTCCTTTATTCCCTCCCCTTTTCAGCTGCATATTGCATGAGTGGGGAGGTGTCTGCTCCATGAGGGGTGTCGGCTGTGCTGGGGACACTGTGGGCACGCAGCCAGCCCATGGCTGACACTGATGCTGCCAGAGCAGCTTTGCTGGGGTGTTGCAGTGGCTCTGTGCAGGGCACTGGGGACAGCAGGAGCCATGTCACCAGCGTGGCTTGTCAGTGATTCACAGAGATCTCTTGGAACGCCCTATTTTTGGGAACGGCATTTCTAGATAAATGCTTTTCCATTTCCAAAAGGCTTTTTTTTTTTTGACGTGCTGGGAAATAAACCTCTACCTAGCTGTGGGTTTTAAGTCACATCCCTAACATTCTGGAAAGTGCTAGTCATTTGATTTTCTAATCTTTTCTATGAATTATAATGATGGTAAGGACCAAATAGGCTTAGTCCTGTGCTGCCACTCTCTCCAGACACAGAACGGCAGCAGCAAAGGCACGTTTAGAAACTGAGAGCCCCTTGATGTGTCTGGCAAGCTTAGCTCTGAAATCCTCAAAAGAGATCTGTCTTCCTTTTCCCTCTAAATTTAGATGAAGAATTTTTACATTCTTGGAACAGAGAGGGAGGAAGGTGGAAACTGATAAGGCGCTGTGGAAAGAAAATTGTGGCGTTTTCAGATGCAGACCTGGGTTGTGTGTGCGAGGTAGATTGAGAACTTTAAACTCATGTCACCTTTTCTTTTTAGGCATTCAAGCCAATGTTTTAGGGGCCTCTCTGTCTTCTACAGGACCAGGTAGAACTCCTTTGCATAGGGCTTTTGTAAGCAGGCCTTTGGGGACTAAGGGGCTTGGGTTTGGGTTTATTTTTTTTCCTGCCTAGGACATGCAGAAATGTTGTTGCTCATTCACTCAAAGACAAAACAAGTTTGCCAATTCCTGCTCTTTGTAGCCTGTTGGCATTTCTGAAAAGATACCAGGCAATGGGGACTTACAGATAATTATTGCCACAAATAATTTAACTTATATTGAATGAGGAAGTCACCCCTTTTGACTCACCATTTTAAACCACTGGAGTCATGGTCTGTAGTGGCTCACCCCAGCAGTCCAGAGTGCTTGTTATTAAGGACTTCTGCATTTTGGATTAGTGTTTCCCACTGAGTGATTTTAATTCCTGTTGCCAAGGAATTCACACAGGCATGTATGATTAGCAAACCATCAGGATTAAAAGATCCACACGGCAGAGTTAAAACACTTCAAGGCTATTTTAGTTACCCCAGGTACCACAGCACAAAAAAAGCAGGGTCTCCCATGTCTGCAGCTCCCAGCTCCTAAATCTGGCTGGCTGCTGAACACTGGAAGCAAACAAAGCTTTTAACATCATTAAACACCAGCTTTTTGCTTCATCACTCAAGGACTGCTCCCCTCCTTGCATCTTCATCTGCACAAGTGGATACACCACGGGGGTTTGGGGAGATCTGAGTGAGCCCCCTGGGATGATGGACCCAATTTGAACAGCTCTGGGCTTGGATTGGAACCACCAATTGTACATGGCTGAACCCCAACTGGCTGAGCAGATGAGATACATGTGTTTGTTCAAAAGTTTGCAGCAAACATCCAAGTTTTTTTTCCATAAATCTATTCTCTCCTGATCTGGATTATCTTTCTTTAAAACAGGCTTTTTCCAAAGACATAGGCAAAGGATTTAGCTCTCTTTGACCCTTCTTTCCAAACAAGTCTAAGTGGCCAAGCTGCCCATCTCCTGAAGGCTGGGGCTCAGCTGTGTGCTTGAACTTGCCTGTAAATGCCACTCTGACATGTTCTGGGCATAAATAGAGCCTGTTAGACTATGTTGGAAGGAATACCTTTTTTTTTTTTTGGAATCTAATTAAGTTTGAAAGATGGGTAGTACTTACCATAAGCATGTTGTTTTTAGAGAATAAAAACCTCTTTGCAAAATGATTTAGTTGTTAGGATTTTTTTTTCTTCTTTGAGTTGCAGAAGAGAAAGAAAACTAAAGCTCCTTCTTACAGTAATCTGTTTTTCTCCCTTTTATTTTATTTTCTTATCTAGAGAAGTGGTGTAAGCAAAGTTCTTTGCTGGTGCTAGGGATTTGTGTGATATTTTTTCAAGGTGTGGATTGTAGAATGTCACACATTCATTTTTAAAGGGTTTTGCTCTCTGATACGAATGAAGCACAGGGCAGTCAAATGTCAGTGGCAGCTTAGCAGCTCACTTTTCCTGCTTCTCTCCATTTTATTATGCTCTGTGTTTGCAAAAGAGGAGCCTCTTATGTTCTCAGCTTTGTTAGTGTTTTCAGAGCAGGCGTGCTTGCTGCTTTTGACAAAGTTTTTGCTGTCTCCTCAAAACAAGCAAAGACCCATTTTCCCAGAACAGGGCCATATTTGGACATTACTAAAATAACTTCAACCTTCAGCATGCCTCATCCTTCCCTGGCTGGGCATCCCAGAGCAGTTCCAGGCTGTGTCAGGGCTGCTGCCCTCACTGCTGTGCTTGGGGACAGGACAGAACTCTGCTCCAGCTCTCAGGTGGCACGGAGCCAGGTCTCACTCTCCCTCAAGGAGCATCCCATGGGATGGATGCAGATGTCCTGGTCCCCTGGAGCGAGCAGTGCTCCCATCCCGAGCCCTCTGCTCCTCCTGGAGCGCGCGGCACCCGCTCTGGGGCTGGCCCTGTTCCACCCTCTCTGAGGCACCTGCTCCAGGGTTTGGACCTGTTGCACCCTCTCCGAGGCTGAGGTAGCACTCCCACTGCTGGGGTGATGCAGGTTTGTGCATTGAGTGACGGGGAGGGAGAGCTGCAGGCTGGTATCACGATATTCCTCACGCTCCAGAAATTGCATTAAAAACCCGCGGGGTCTCCTGGCGTGCTGTTTGTCACATGCCTTGCATGCCTGACCAGGTGGGGCGATTTTGTGAAAATATTTTGCCATTGCTTTGCTTTTTAATGAGGGCAAACTGACCTTGCTTTCTCCCCTCTCCAAACCACCCAAAGGAAGCTAGCCAAGAAGCAGAAGGAGACTCAGACCAGCACGCAGAGGGAGATGGGTCCTGTGGCTTCTTCTGACAAGACCTCCACCAAACTCAGTGCTGTTCACAATGAAGAAGCTTTTTCTTCCAGCTGCCAAGATGTTAATGGATTCAGTAAGTTTAACTTGCTTGCAATGGATATGACCCCCTTGGAGAGCTCTGGGTTCTTAAAAGGACCCATTCCCTTGGGCACAATGTTGAGGAGTTAGGAATGGCAGTGATAGAGATGGTTGCAAAAGCTCCATAGAAATCTGGAATGTCTCTGATACTGCCCCTGGTTTCACTGTCAGACAGGTGGAGAACATTCCTCTGGGTCCAAATCTACTGAGAATAATTTATAAAGCTTGTTCTAATAACTGCATCAGAATAAGAGGCACATGTTTGTTTGTTGTTTAGAAATACTTTTCCTTTGTGAGTAGAAGAGTCAAGTCCCTTAGCTGACTTGTGGGATGAAATAACATTTTCTGTATGAGATTGTTATGAAAGAAGGCCTGGTCTCCTGGCTAGAGAACTGGAATGGAAAGACAGCATTTTTTTCCTTTGTCTGTGTCCTCGGTTTATTCTTCACATGGTTCAGTATAACTGATCTTAGTTAACATTTGTAAACCACCCAGACCTCTGTAGCTAAAAGAGTTTTGTGGGTAAAGCAGCACCAAGTCCTACTTTAGCCTCACTAGATCCAGGTTGAGTGCATGGTGGATTGCATGGTGGATTTGTAAACTTTTTTCATATTAAATAAATTTAAACTTAGACACTATGGGCATGTCACTCCTTCTTTTGACACTCAGCCTGTTAGTCTGGACAAGGGACATCTGTGAAACTCCAGTGTGTACTAAAACTCTTTATTAAGCATCTTTAGTCAAGGTTTTTTTTCCCCCAATTACCAAAATGGAAGTTCTCATGATAGAAAATGTGTTTTATCATTGAAACCTCCCCTGAGTTGGACAGGTTGAGTGAATTCTTCCTTTCCCTCTCTGCAGGTCATGTCAAATCCCATCTGCATGTGCTGCTACTGCCACTCTGTGTAGCACACCTGTGAGATGGATAAATAGGTGTCTGGGGCAGCCAAGGCTGGCAGGGAACACTTCTCTCTGATATTAAATTGACTTCAGCCAAGATCTAATTTTCTCTGGTGCTGAGTAGCTCTATCTTAGCTAAGGAGGCAGCAAGGGTTCTGTGGGGTTCATATCTCTGAAGGCCAGGAGAGCAGCAGACAGTGTTGTATCCCCAAACAGCAGAGGCAGCTTGGCTGGAGTGTGGGGAAAATCAAATGTTCAGCACTTCCCTCAGAATCTGGGCTTCTGAAAGTTTCGGGATTCTTTTTCCAACCAGAAAATTAGAAAAGAGACAAGCTTGAAATGTGACCTCATATTTTTTCCCCCACCCTTGTTATTTTGACAGACTAATTAAGTCAGCTGACTCATTTGCTTGAAATGGCAACTGTAGAAAATACGATGTATCAAATTTTGTAAAGAAACAGCACTCCAGGTTTTCAATTTTTTTAATCAGTTAGATCTTTACTTGTCTGACATCTCTGCAGATTTTATCACTGCTTTCCCCTATAACCTGAGTCAGTCATGGGTAGATTCTTTTTATTTTTTTTCCTTATATTTTTTTTTTCCTCTCATATCTATGAGAAAGAATTATCAATAAACCTTCATGATTTCTCCAAATTTTTTACTGCCAAGTCCAGGATGCTGAGGTGCTGGAGGTAAGTTCTGTGCAGTAGTGTGCACACGCTGATACAGGAATTTTATGAGTAAAAGAATTCCTTGAAAAGGAAAATAAAATAAATTGCCTTAATGGAGTTTAATACTTGTGGGTTCTATACAGGCCTACTTTGGAATAACATAATAGGATTATTTCTTAACCTTCCTGCTAACTAATAGAGTTTTAGAGGGTTTATCCACCAGAGCTGTTGAAATCAACAGAATTAAGCAGCAGTCGGATTCATTCTTAAATTGTTTTTTTGCCTGCCAACAGTAAATAGCATTTACAGCAGCCCATGATGGGCAGCCACCGTCTCTGTCCTGCCCTGAGCGAGCTGCAGCAGGGATGAGGAAATGCCCCTCTCCTTTTGCAGGAAGAGCCCACCAAGAGAAGCAAAGTGTTTTCAATGCCAGGGTCACACAAGCAATCAAACAGAACAAGACAATTTGCTAAGTGGGATCCCTCAGTTATTGAATGACTTGCAGGCAACTTTACCTGCAGAATGCAACGTCCTTGCAGGGCTTGTGTCCTTGCCTCCAGCTTTTACTTTCTGTCACAACAATTCTGATAACTTTTCAGACAGAACAAGCTCAGGGAGTGCCTACAGAAGGTTTTCTTTTCCCATCTCTCTCCAGTTGGCCCCTGCTCTGCACCTGGGTGAGTCCTGCCCATCCTCCTGCTGCTGCTTACCCTGACTCCCTGCCCTGCCACCACACAGGACTATTTCTAAATCAATTAGATTTAAAATCCCACTTTCAAGGTGCTGCCTGATGCTCTGCACCATGAGGGTGATAAAAAATGAACAGCTGCCCTCCTCCTTACCAGCTCCTTGTTTTCTGTTGAGGCATCAAGACTCCAGGTCTTGCTGAAAAGAGGAAGAGAATTGTACATTTATCTTCCCTGGCCTGAAGCAAAGCCACTCATCCCTCTTCCCATTCTGCAGTGTTAGTTGTTATCCTGGCAGGATTCTCACTGATACATACAGGTGTTGAAATTAAAGAGATTTTTTTTGACTTAGCCTCTGTCTCTGACACTCCACAGAGCCAGGGAAGGTGTTTGGTGAAGCATAGATTGGTCTGTGGCTGTTTCAGCTTGTCTGCTTTTACCTGGGGATTATGAACAGTCACAGTTGGTCATTTTTTCAAATATCTTGGGTTTTTTAAGCTATCAATATATCCCAGCTCCATGAAAGGCAGGTGATGGCCCTGGCAGTGGCTGAGCAGCTCCCTGGAGTGCAGGAATGTTGGGAGGCAGCACAGTCACCTGTAGACATTGGCTCAGGGCAGGGTTATTATGGAGCAAGGTGGGAAATGGGAAACAAAGTGCACCTAAATTTGTCCCCCCAGTGTCTGCACTGACCAGAAGGGTGTGCAGGGGGTGGTGGGCACACAGAAATCATGGGCAGTGTGGCAGAGATGGGATGGGCAGCAGGATCAGCTCAGCAGGGATGCTCTGATGTGCTCTGCACAAAGGAACTGCCATGGACCAGCCTTGTCCAGGAGAATTCCCTGTCCCCAGCAGAGCCACCCTGGCATCCTTGCAGGGGTTCTGGCAGGAGCTGTTGGATTCTGAGGATTTCACCCATTAAAATGCAGCCAGTTTTGCTGGAGACTGATTAATAAGGTGCTTTAATTAATGCTTTACCTGTTTGACATCCCATTTTGGGGGGGGAACATCTCTGCAGACACTCTGCAGGAGGGACGCAGATGAAGGAGGGGCTTTAATGCTTCAGGCAGAGCATTCTGGAAGTGGGGATCTGAGTTCTGCATAAGAACCACTACCATAAGTTACCAAGTCAGTGTGATTTCACTTATGAGAACAAGAACATGAGAGGGAGGTGTAGGCAAGTGGCACTCAGGGTTTATTAAGGGATCCATTTGTACCAAGAACCATCAAAATTCACACCTTTCCCCAATATTCCATGATTTTATGATCAGTGAGATGCAAAGGTCTTCACAGAAGATAAGCACAGCAAGGTGTAGTTCTTACTCCTGCCCCATGGATAATTTTCACTCATAATTAGGTGACCTGGTAAATGCTGTCTAAGGTCTTGTAGGGTTGTGGACATCAGACGCTTCCTTTAGTAAAAAAATTCTTAAAATAATTTAAAAATAAAAGGCAAGCCCACATTTGATTAAAGGCATAAATGGAAAATGTACTAAATTCCCTTTTACTGGCTTCCATGGGATTCTTGTGGGGTTTGCTAGTTTAGGAAATATTATAAAAATTAAAGAATAATTTTCAGAATAGGAAGGAGCCTTCACCACTCTGCATGACTGGAGGGATCTGTGTGGCCTCACGTGCCACTCCAGGGAGCACAAAGAGAATTTTTAATGAAGTCTTAATCTCAACCCTGATGTGAAATCCTCTCTGGACATGTTTCCTTTGATTACAGACCCAAGTGCCTGTGAGAAATGCTAGTTAGAAAGCAGCCCTGTGTATACATCTCATTATACACCCTGACTGATTTCAGAAACAAGTTCTCCAAAGTTTTAAGAAACTTCTCTTTTGTGTTGGTGGGTTTTGGGGGATTTTTGTTTTGGTTTAGTTTTTTTTTTTGTTTAGTTTTTAATTTGTTTTGGTTTTGGGTTGGGTTTTTTCTTGGTTTTTTGGGGTTTTTTGGAGTTTTTTCCCTCTTTTTAATATGAATTTAAAAGTCACATCCCCTTGTCACAAACACAATTCATGTCATAAACTTCAGTTGGTAACATCTTTAATAAAACTCACTGACATGAGGTGTTTATTTGGAAATCCATCCTCAGCAGCTCTGGAAGGGCAGCATGGCTCTAGGAGTTATTTCACACTCCCAAATTCCAGAAAAACTTGAGTCCTGCCCCAAGCCCTGAGTGTGGCCTTGCCCTGGGCAAACCAATTGATGTGTTTAGATCTTATTTGATGTTATCTGTACCATAGCCATGCCCTCAGTGTGGTGAGAGCAGGGTCTGATTTAGGCTGGCAAAGTGCAAGAGGCCCCAGAGCAGAGGAACTTTGTGACTTGAGGCAGCTGGGGCAGAGCTCTAGCAGAGAGGAATTGGATTGTTTTAATGTGTTTCCAAGTCATGTAGGTCTGAAAATAAGGTGTGAGAATGCAGAATGAGAGTGAGTTCATGAACCAGATGATTATAAACTGCTCAGGAGTAATTCTGATTTTATGGACCTCCCTAGACCAGTGACTTCTTTGGTTGTCCCCATAGAATAACTTGAAATTTTAAAGCAATGTTTGCTCCATAGCTACAAAAAATTGGTTCTGAAATTACTTTGATGTACACTGAGTTTTATCTACTTCTGTTGGGCTATGGAATAGTTTTTCCTGTGTTATCTGTTGTCATCTTTCTGATGTACTGAGATTTGTATTAGCTTGTTTCCCAACATTCTGAGGAGGAGATATATAAATGCCTGTAACTCTGAGAGTGAATGCAGAGTGATAACAAAAGAATATGCCTTCAAAAGTGATGGATTACCATAAGAATGTGCATGTTTGCTGCTGTAGGTGTAAACCAGCCTCATAAATTTGCTATCAAGACAAGAATCTACCACGAAGATGTTGAGCCCTTCCTCCTTTTAAAAAATATTTGATTAACATGGAAATTTGTAGATTCTTGTCCAGAGAAAGTTAATGCTGTAATGGGGGAAGGCAAGGATGCTTGACAGAACCCAGATCACAGGGGAAGGGATTATAGGATTTGCTATGAACAGTCCTGGGTTGAAGAACAAGTCCCTTGTAATGTTGTAATGTTTTAACCAAAAAATTGCTTCCCCATCTGTGTATTTTTGTGGTACATTGTGTTTGAGTAGGTTTATTTTACTGTCAATACTGATTCTCTGTAGTTTGTATTCTGGGGGTCATTTTTGAGGAATTTCCTCTTAGAGACAAAACCCTAAGTTTGTTCTTTTGGTTTAAAAAAAAAAAGAGCATTTAGAATATAGACCTATGAATGTAGCCCTGTGTGTATCCTATTTAGGAACACATTGATTTACAGTAACTATAATCCTATATTTGGGGTCTGGAGTGCTTATATTAAAGAAAATCCATCATGATGACAATGTAATAAATGTAATATGCATGTTGAAATGAAAAATATAATTCATTTTGATAAGCCTTATATATCCCATATTACTGTGTTCTTTGAGGAACATTCTCCCTGTTCTCTTTCTCTCTCTTAATATATGTCTAAAGTCTTTTCCTTATGTCTTTCCTACCTAGCATCACCCTCTCCTTGTTCATTTTCTGTCCAAAGCAAAACCCTTCAGAGCAAATCTATGTTGAATTCCTACTACTCAGGTACTAGTGCCAGACTTTTCTTTCATTCCTAAATTTTCTTTGCTTTTGTACATTACCCAATATAACCTATAACAGACCGAGGCTTCCGAGTGCGAGGCACAGCTAACCTTGTTTTCATTTTCTGTAACTTTTCTTTTCCTGTTGATCCTCTGTTGATTTCCATTGAATTCGTGTGGGTGAACGGAATTCCATCTCAAAGTTTCATCAGACACCGTCCCATCGACCACGCTGTTAGGTAAGAGGACAGGTATGGTGTGCTGGGCTGAGCTGGAGAGCAAACACACTCTCTGTGAAATGAAAATAACACTCTGAAGTGTTTGGCTTCCAAAATCAGAATTAATCCTGTGCTCATGGATTGATCAGAAAACTTTTGTTTCATTTGTGTTTTGTTATTGCTGTTAATTGATTTCAAAGGAAAGAAAAATTCAGAAATTAAGGTTTAGTCATTTTTTCAAGGATATGGTTGTGGTGCTTGTGAGGGTTCCCAGGACGAGGTGAGAGATGAGAATTTGACTACAGGTTCTCAGAAGGCTGATTTATATATTATATTATAATATATTATATTATATTATATTATATTACATTACATTATATTATATTATATTATATTATATCTATACTAAAGAAAGAGAAAGGATACATCAGAAGGTTTAACAAGAATGAATAATAAAAACCCGTGACTGACTCCTCAGAATCTGACACAACTGGATCATGATTGGTCATTAATTAAAAATAATTCACATGTTTGGATAAACAATCTCCAGACCACATTCTTGAGCAGCAAAACATGGAGAAGCTGAGGCTTCTCATCTTGCCAGGAGAAGAAATCCTGGAGAAGGGATTTTTCAGAAAATACCATGGTGACATATATTGGGTTTTTTTGTCCATGAGATTTGGGGTTCTGGGCCCCTTTCCCACTCGCTGCCTTGCCTTAGGCTTAGTTCTGACTCCTGCAGCTTGTTGTGCCTGTGCAGCTGACACAGAACCACAGAATGGTTTAGGTTGGAAGGATCTTTAAAAGCTCTCTAGGCCATGGGCAGGAGCACTTTCCTATGGACCAGATTGCTCAGAGCCCCATCCAACCTCACCTGGAACTTTCCAGGCATTGGGCATCTTCCACCCCTCTGGGCCACCTGTACCTTTTTATAGACAGTTTCTTCTTTGTATCTACTCTGAATTACCCTGTTTCCATTTAAAACCACCCCCCTGTGCTGTGTGTGAGGCTCAGCTGGAACTGCCTCAAGGGTGGCACATTTAAGTGAGGATTTGCACATGTGCAGCAGGTGGGGGCCTGCAGTTTTGGGTGAAGTTGCCTGGATAAAGGTTATTTGGAGAAATTCTTGGCTGGGTTTTGGGAAGTGGCTCCACCTGATTCTGTGGATGCTGCGAGTTAAATGCTAAATCTTTCAGGCGGTCAGGTATGGATTTGAGAGATAACAAAGGTCCTGAGAGGCAGAGGCTGTTTTGTGGCTCTATCAGATATCAAAAAGGAAGTCTGCCCTGTGAGGGTGGGCAGGCCCTGGCACAGGGTGTCCGGAGCAGCTGTGGCTGCCCCTGGATCACTGGAGGTGTTCCAGGCCAGGTTGGACAGGGCTGGGAGCAGCCTGGGACAGTGGAAGGTGTCCCTGCCCCTGATAAGGGGTGGAACTGGATGGGCTTTGAGTTCCCTTCTCACCCAAACCTCTCTGATTTTCTGATTTATGAATTCTTTCTCTATGGAGCAGAAAGATGATGTGTGGCTGATCAGAATCTAACCAGTGGGATTTATCCTTTTGGATTATCCACAATGAATGTTCCTTGCAGACACAGTAATCTGCCCTGACTGCTTCAAGCATCACTCAGAACATGGGGAAGGGCCACAGTTAGACCTGCAAGAAGTGACAACCAGTGGCTGTTCCTTGGTTGTCACTTGGCACAGAGGCTTGGAGGGGCTGCCACAACTCACACATCCATCCTGCTGCCTGCCAAAATGCTGATGGCAAGGAATGGGGCCTCTGAAAGAGGTGGGGAAGGAAAGGTGTCCATTTCCCAGAAGGTTTGCTCTCACTTCCAGAGGCTCAGTGTCATCAGCAGAAAAGCCTAAAGGCAGGTTTCTCTTTTGGCTGTACTTTAGAAACAAGGCCCTGAGCTGCTGTTTGATGGAAGATATCAAACTCTCTTAGTCTGGTGTTTTCCATCTGGAAAAGCCTGGCCATTCTTTGTGGGACCTGTTTTCCCCCCTCTGCCCTGATGGAATTAAGGTATGAACTGCGCTTGTGGTGCTCTGAAGCTCAAGGAGCAATGAACAGGTTCCCTCTGTGCTTCTCCTGCCACAGCAAAAGCCCCCAAAACTTTTAAAACTCAAAATTTTATACATGAAAAAGAGGAAATAGGAATCTAACCAGCCTTGTGCCTATATATTCAAAAATATTTCAAATTTCTGCTAAGCACTATATCTGTGTAAGAATTGATATCCATGTTTTACACATGGGAAGTTAAGTACAGAGCACTTTAAAGACATAAATTACACAGACTGGTCACTGTCCCAGTTTCACCTGAATTTAACAGCCTGTGAAACAGCCCCTTACATTGGAGAAATTTCTATCTTGTGACTTGCAGACAAATTATAACGTTGGCATTCTGATTTCTCAGACAAATCCATCAGATGTTAGATGTTGCTGTATGAGCAAAAGAAGTTTAATTTTTGATGTTTATTAATATTAATTCCCTGGGAAGAAAAACATATCTTGAAAAGGGATTAGTCATACCACTACCAATATCTGTACCTGCAATTCAGTACTGTTTGTTCCCATCTATTATGCTTTCTGCTAATAAATGTTCTATATTTGCAGTATTGCATGGCTCCCTAGGCTTGGCTGTGACATGGAAGATACAGGAGATTTGGGATTTCCCTCTATCTCAATTCCTGATTAATGCTTTTTTATAAATGTTTTTAGTGAAGCCATTTTCTCTTCCAATTGTGGACAAGTCTGCATTTTAAATGTTTTGCTCAAACATCCTTACTGGAGAAGGGAATAGTGTTAGATAACACTATTTTTTAGTATTATCTAACACTAAAAAATAAATTGAGGTGGATTTTCACTTGAAGGTTAGGTAGCACAACCTTAGGGATTATTTTTGGGGAACAGATTCAAGTCCAGCAGCTCTTGAAGGTGTTCAGGAGATCTCATCAGGGGATCTCTGCAGGGGAACCAGCATGTCCTTCCCTTGGCATCTCCTGGCAGCAGGAAAGGACACTGAGCCTTGTTCTCGTTCCAGCTGCTCATGAGGATCCTCCAGACAGGACAGGGATTTTAGTGCCTGCAGAGGGGCAGAACAAGCACGGAGAGCTCTCTGACACAAAGACTCAGACAAAAAACTGGCTGTGCTTAGAAAGACATAGAAATTTTCCATGGATTTTAGACTCCTGTAGTTTTTTTGCCCACCCCAATCTGTCAGCTGTGTGTGCACCCCCAGCCTATTTTGAATAACTCAAAGATGTTAAGAAGCCAGTATTGCTGCTGTAGCAGGTGCCTCTGTCACTGAATTTTTACTGTGGGATGAGTGATTTTTATGCAATGGATGCTCAAAAATTCCATGGCTTGACCTGCTCAGTTGCATCAGAAGCCTTCCAGGCCAAGCTAGCCTCTAATAAGGAGCTGTGGAAGAGGTTTTCCCAGCATTTCTCTGTGCTGGGGTTTGTCAGGAGCAGAGTGAGCACCAAAGGTTCAGACCTTGGCAGGCTGGGCCTTGAGCTGAATTTCTCTTACATTTCTTCCTGCCTGCAGAACTGGAAACCACTCTCTTCCAGTCTTTAGTGGCCTGTAGTTTCATGTTCTGTTTTGAAGTTTCCAGTTGTTTTCCAGATGTAAATGAATGTCTCTGAAAGGTGGGTTGGTCTGGCAGCCTCTTTTCACTGAGGAGGCAAAGACAGAATTGGCTTGGTGAGTTCCACACATCCAAAGAGCTTCACAGTTATATTTCTACCAAATAATCCCAAATACCAATAATCCCAAATCATTGCCCACCTCACCAAAGCATCTTCTTTGCACCTTTAACAGGGTTTTCTTCTGTGTTACCTGATGAAGAAAATGTATGTAATAGTTTTCTATAAGATCACAATACTCTTATGCTAGAATACACTTATAATATTAGAATACTTTAATATTCTTATTAGAATGCTCTTATAAGATTAGAATACTCTTATGCTTGGTGTTAACCAAGCAATTCTTACAAAGTTCTAGAATCTATAAAAAAATTACCTACTTTTTAAAATGTGGCTTCTTCATGCCTTTGAAATGAAAGGTGCACCCTCTGTGCTCTGTCAAGCCTGCTGTCAGAAGGCTTTGTTAAGGACTGTGCCTTTCCAGAGCTCAGTTGATATCATTAGATAAATGGTGTTTTGCCTTCAGTTTGCCATACCTCTGTTGGTATTGTAGATAGAATATTAGAGCTGGGTATTTATCACATAATAAAGCCTTGACACACACAAAAAAGCAAATTATTTTTCATCTTGCACCATATCCCTGGTGTAGAGGGAAGAGGTATTAGCCATGCTCTAGTCACCCTCGGAAGATGTCAAAGAATTGACAGCCTTTGCTCTAGTGTGGAGAGACTGGCTCTGTGTGTAATTAAATCCATCACAAACACCACTCAAAACATAATTTATTTTGTGCAAAGGATGTCGTATCGCATCTTATCACTTGCCAAGGCTAAGAGAATAAAGAATATAAGCAGATATGATAGCCCTGTCATTTTAGTCACAGGAGGAATTTGTGGACCTTAAAGCAAAAGTTTTGAGAGAAGCTTCTGCAGTGTAGAAGATGACACAGGAGTGCAGGTTTGCTTTTAGTTGTGAGAGGCATGGCTGAGTTTTCTGGTCAGGAGACAACATCATACCCTGTGCCCAGATATCAATTTCTCAGCCTAACTGTGTTTACACAACAAATGATCTCTATAAAAGCATCTAAAGCTTTAATCCCTAAAGGTGCTCTGGGCGAGCAGGACCCCTCCCAGCAGCCTCACTGGGATGTTGCACAGGGCTCTGATCATACAGAGCCACTTCCACACTGGCAATCTAATTTCTCAGCTGCTCTTCATCTTATCTGTGACATTTATGGAGAAGTTCATCAGTTTTTCTGTGGAGGCAAACATATTTATTTTACTTGCCTGAGAAGCACAAAAGTACAGAACACAAGGTGGGTGCAGCAGCAGGCAAGCAATAATAACTCACTGTCAGGGCTGCTCATCAGGTGGGGGAAGATTCCACTCAAGTGACCGCTGCTCCAGCTCCTCTCTGTGTGCTGGACTCCGTTACTTCTGGGCACACTAAGACCTCAGGGTTGATTCCAGCAAGTTCATGATTATTTCCCCTGCAAAGGCATTCACAAAAAGCACCATTTCATAGGCAGGGAGAATTTGAGAATATGTGAGGTCAGCATTGTTACATTTGCTTATCTGCAGTTTCACACTAAACACAGGAGCTGAGATACCTGAAGAGTTTCCCAATCGCCAAACTGTGTAAGAGACAGGGAATCACTAATTTACTGTCTTCTACAAAATTTCAGGGTGTTAGGTGAACTCTCAAGCAGATCACAGAATGGTTTGGGTTGGAAGGAACTTTAAAGCTCATCTCCTTCTGATAGTAAAAGACTTTAAAATCGTAGAAAATTCAGGGAGTTAGAAAGAAAATTAGGCTTAGTGGGTGGGAACACTTCTTCATGAAAACGCCATCTTCCAGAATCAAAACATCTGAGTTGGCAAAGGACATCTTAATATGTGGAATAAGAGTGGCACTGAAAAGGGTTAACAAACAAGCTGGCAACACCCTTTGCTGTCACAAGCTGCTGATTTTAGAAGCAATCCTGTCATCAACAGCGTGTTCCCAGCCACATGCAGAATACCTGCCTTATTTACAGCTGCACAAATGGAACTGTGGAAAATTGGAGATTGTTCTAGGAAGGAAGCGGAGCCCTGAGCAGCCTGCCCTAATGAGACTTCAGAAGCTCTCAATTGATTTACTTTATCAAAGAGAGGCTGAAGAAGTGATTTGATCAGTGCCTGTATGGGTCAGGATTACAAATGCTCAGAGGGCTCTTTAATCTAACAGAAGGTATAATAAGATTCAGTGCCTGCAATCGAAGCTAGGCAAAATCAAATTGCAATTAAGAAATGTTTAGTCAGCAAGGGTAATTAACCATTGCCACAATTTTTGGGGTCAGAATGGAATCACCACCTCCTGAAATGTTTTAATTTGAATAATTTCTTGGAATGGTATTCCATCTTTGGAGTGCAGTGAAATGTGGTGGGGTGTGTTCCTATCAAAACCACAAGAACATATGACTAGGATAAATGTGTATATAAATATAATTTAAAAAAACACCTGATGCATGATCCTCCACATTTAGTAGTTTCTGAGTATTAGAGTGAATTATTTCCTGCAACTTTCCCATTAAAAAAAAAAAAAAAAGCACAACAAAAACTAGTTTTCTGTTTTGCTTTTCTCACTGAAAACTCACCAAAGGCACTCATGCTTTATAGGCACTGCCAAAAACTTAGTGCAAAGTCTTGGCCAATTTGTCCTGCAAAGTCATTCTCATTTGCAGGGGACGGGGGAAATGTTTGTGAGAAGCAGACAGAGAAAAGGGACTGTGGAAAATTACTTTAACTTCTTTAACTTGCCTTTAGTGCAACAATTAAAGCAGCAGCCTGACTTTGTTGGAACCTTTGTTGTCTTTCCCAGTAATAATGGTGCCAAAAGGAATGAGATGTGCTTTACAGCTGCACCCAGAAGGAAAAGCAAAGCCTGCTTGCCAGCCCTCCAAAGACTCTTTTGGTTGACTGTCCTAGTGAGAGATTAGTCTGCTGCCACCTCCCCTCCCAGCTGCATTTTGAATTGTTCACAGAATTGCTGCAAACACATCCTGAGAGGTGCCGGTCTCGCCGCGCGCCTCATTACCGCGCTTAGCTCCACACTCTGGGGTGATTACATGGAGAGGGAACAACGTGTAACCTGCATCAGCCTTTATTAGCAGAACATGGAAGCATTAAGCTCAGCTCACACACAGCAATTTGTGTCCAGAAAAGCCCCTCTACATTTTGCTTGGCCTAGATAAAATGCTGGTGGGAGTAACTGAGAGTCCAGCGCTGCTGTTGTTGTTGTTGGGGTTGGGATTTTTTTGCAGGTAGCTCAGGTGCCATGCATGATGTGTTTGTCACAGAGGACTGGAGGAGGTGATGGTCTGAGCAGTTTCAGCTGTGTGTCCAGGGTGGAGAGGGGTTGACCCACATTGTGTGGTGCTTTTCTTCAAGCAGAATCACCTGATTGTGTGAGGCACACAAACAGTGCTTGGTGCTGCCACAGACCACACTTTGCATTCTTCCCTGTGAGGTTGCTGAGGCACAGGGTGCCCAGAGAAGCTATGGCTGCCCCTGGATCCCTGGAAGTGTCCAAGGCCAGGTAGGTTGAACAGGGCTTGGAGCAGCCTGGGATATTGAAATGAGATGGCCCCTTCCAAGCCCAAACCATTCTGAGCTTCTGTGCCACAAGAGCTGCTCCTGCAATCAGAGGGACTTGCACCAATTTTTATCTCATTGACCAAAGAGACCAGCTGTCACTACGGACTCAAAGGCCGGAGACAGACCCCTCTTTGCTGCTGAGCACCTTCTTCTAGTCCCACCTCCACACCATGAGTGCCTACCTTAAGGGAAGCTATCTGGAAAGAACGAGCCACCATTTTCCTGGCTCTCACCTCTCCCCGTGACACATTACCCTGAGAAGAGAGCCAAGTACACCAGAATTAAAGGAACTGATGAAGAGAGAAATTAGTAATTGCCTGCAAAGCAGCTGGCTGATCTGAGCTCCATTTTACAAGTCGCCTGTGCTCTGCATGTGCCCTGCCCAAATTAGCACCAGAACCACACATTAGTTTTAAGGCTCCCTCTTGAATTGGGATCTCGTAATGTTTTTTAATTGGGGCTGATAAAAATGTGGCATTACTTGCAGGTTCCTCGGAGAAGCCAATTGTGAAATTGGGTTTGTATTAAACCTAATGATGGAAAATTAAGCATAGTACGTCTGTCGGAAATGGTCCGCGATAAAAATCTTCTCCTTTTCATTACAGGAGGTTAATAGGGAATAGGGGAGCAAAGATGCACTGGGAAAGCGAATCCAACTAGGGGAATTAATAAGCCTTGAAATTCCCTCTGTTCAGAGTTCTCACACTGTCATTAGTCAGAGCATTAGGGATGATTATACAAATGCTTTGGATGTTACTCTTCCTTAAATCCCAAATTTATTCACATTTTGTGTTTGAGGGTTGCTTTGCTTGAGCCGTAGTTCTGTAAATCTGTGTGTCCTGGGAATGTGACTGTGTTTATGAGAACCTGGGACTCAGAAATCCTTAAATTCAGGAGTCTAATCTTCAAAGCAGATGATCACTGTGCTAATTTATTTCAGAAGAGCAGGCTGTGTTCAGCATCTCTGATAATTCATCCCCCAGCCGTGTTGATGTCCCACTGCTGATGAGCTTGCCCTGCGGCAGTGTCCACTGCTGGCATTCCTATCTCCTCACAGTCCTGCAGCTACCAAACAGAGCATATCCCTGCTTTCACATCGTGCCCTAATCTAATAATAAGCCAGCTGAATTGCTGTTTGCCATGTCTGTGCTGAGGACACGGTGGGATGCCCTCAGCTCCCTGCTCCTGCCCACCTTTGCAGCAGGGACACGGGCAGCCCCTGCCCAAACACCACAGTGGTTTCTCAAGCAGAGCAGTGTTTACAAGAGCATTCCAAGATTATTTCTGCCTCACAGAAATCGCCCTGAAATTGCAATTTGATTTATTTATTCTTTATCCCTTTAAAAGCGTGGCCGCAGTGTTGCTCTCAAGGGGTGGTGTTTCAGCTCTTTGTCAGTGAACTTGCTGTAAGAAACAAACCCTGTGTGTGGAAGCTCAAGGGGCTTTTGTGAACAATCTGAGGGAGATGCATTTTCTGCTTGGTAATACCTTGGTTTGGGTAAGGCCAGAAAGAGTTGATGCAGGTTCTATGTGTGAAAGGAGCCGAGCATCTCAGATCCCTGCAGTCCTAGAAAAAACACTGCTATATTTGGCCAAATACTTAAATTTGGACAGCTCTGCTAGATAAGTCATTGAATTTTTCATTTAGTCTGAGTTCCTGTTGTTAAAGATTGTTACAGTCAATTGTTTGGTTATTGAAGTTATTATTTCTTTTCTCTTAGTTCACTGGGAATATTTTGTTGTACGTAGTTTTGCTTGGGATATGAAGTTGCAATTCCATTTGCATAGGGATAGATTTCTTTAAATCCACTTCTTTCAAAATGACATGCTTTTCTATTAAGTTTACATATCTGAAATTTAAATTTCTGCACACAAGATAACTATATTTTTACGCTGGCTTATTTTTTTTTCCTGATAATATTACATCATTGTCATTGACATACAAAATTTTAGGCCCGAACTAGCAGAACAGTTGACTTTGCCTGAGCATCCTGACTTATTTGAAATGCTAATCATTTGCTTGCTGTTCACGGGGGTCCCTCTCAGTTATCTCATGCTGTACACCCCAAATCCTGCCTGGATCTCATGCTGTACACCCCAAATCCTGCCTGGATCTCTTGCTCATCTCTATGTATCTCTGAGCCATGTTCTTTGCAGGTTTGGGAAGACAGTAGCTCTGTTGGAGTTGCTGTGGAGATGTGCCATTTCCTTGTTAGCTTGACTGGCTGTTCACTCTCTCCCTGTCTTTTTGGGTTTGTCTGCTTGACACAAAAAAGATATTCAAGCGTGATTTAGTCCTTCTTGGCACTTTAGATAAAACTGTGTTTTCTATTCATTTCTTTACTTCCTTTTGCCCGTGCCGCCCTGCGGGGTGGTGTTAAATAAACGGAGCGAGGGTGAAACTGGGAATAGCAGGTAGCTGAGAGCTTGTTGTGCCCGCTGTGTCCCCACAGACAGCAGCCACGGGGAGCTGGCCCAGCCCACGCTGACCATCCAGACCCACCCGTACCGCAGCTGCGAGCCCGTGGAGATGTCCTACCCCCGGGGGCAGTTCCAGCCCGCCATCCGCGTGGCAGACCTGCTGCAGCACATCACCCAGATGAAGAGGGGACAGGGCTATGGCTTCAAGGAGGAGTATGAGGTGAGAGGAGCCTTTCTTCACGTGGCTGATGTGAGAAATGTGTATTTTATGATTGGTTTCTTCACCCAGATGAAGAGGGGACAGGGCTATGGCTTCAAGGAGGAGTATGAGGTGAGAGGAACTTTTCTTCATGTGAGAAATTGCACGTTTTATGATTGGCTTTTCGTAAATATTCAAATGAATGTTATATATGTTGTGCTAGAAAGTTATGGTGTGTTAAGTAGTGTGCTAAATATAGTTTTAGGTTATAACAAAATGTTAAAATAGAAACTACGCTATGTAAGATACTTTTTTAAAGAAAGGACTCACAGTGAGATAGCAGCCACAGGACACCTGAATCTTTCAAAGAAAGAGAATTTATTGCCCCATTATCAGAAGAAATGAACTTCCTGCCTCACTCAGGCTTGAAGGCGCTGTCAGGATTCAGAGGAAGAAGTTGACCCTGACCAGACAGAATCCTGTGTTTGAATGGAATTTATGCATCATGTATGAGGTGTACAACTGTGCAACAGGCTATTGTTTTAAGGGTTAATCCTCTGTTAACGTAGGGCCTTTTTCAGGCTTTTGTTGCCCAGAAAAAGGTACCCAGACTGTCCTTAACTCTTTGTTTCTATTGTCTCATATTGTTGTAATTCAAATTGTCCAAATTATTATTACTCTAATTCTATTACAATTTTTATAACCATTTCATTACTATGAAACTTTTAAAAATTTAAAAACAAGTGGTTGGCGTTTTTCACAACTGAGTAGGGAAGTTGCACTCATGAGGGGTAGAAGCTTGGGAAAGAAGGTGGTTTTGAGAGTTTCTTTTCCTTAATTCACCCTCCTATTCCTGTTCTTTCTGATGTTTTGAGGGCAGGGTTTTGCAGCAGTGTCAGTTTTTGGAGGCCCTCAATTCCAAAGAGAAGGCGATCACTACAGCAGTAATTGGGTGACACTGTGCTCATGCCTCTGTCCCATAAAGAGCAGACAGTGAATATTCAGCAGGTGCTGAACATGCAGTCCCACAGTCCCTTCCTTATCAATGTTTTGCTTGAGTAGTGTGAGCCGGGCTGTGAGAAAAGGAAAGGGTTTTGCCTGAGCTTTTTGGGAGCTCCAAGTGCTCTCTCATAATTGATCACATGAAATAACAGAGCAAGGGCAGGCATTTGTGTAGCTTAAATGGAGGTGAAATTTTCCAATATGATCAAACCTCTGACTCAGAATAGGCTTGACTGACATCCTCTATCAACTCCATGTGAGGAGAGGAGTAAAACCTATGCTGGAAAAATGAAAGCTGCCCTATTTCCCCTCACCTCTTCCCCCGCAACCTAGAATGACCAGGAATATAATCCACATGACCAGAAGACGTGATGTTGGGGATGATTTGGAAGAGGAAAACACATTTAGAGCAGAGAAAACAGAAGAGGGAAATAGCATCAAACATATGTGAGACTCAGCTCTAGCAAGTGATAATTATAATGAATGTAGTAAGCTCGTGGGAAGGCAATAAGAAATTAATATGCATAGTGGCATTAAAACTATTTAAAAATAATGTAACAGCTGTGAAAATAAGTTACTTAATGAAAACAGCTCACTTTTCTACCCTGCAAGGATGAGTCCTTGGGGTTTGTGTCCTCAATGCTGAGGTTTGCTGTAATTGGGAGCCTATCTCTTCCTGGTCCTCACCAGGGGGTGTTTTTTTAATCATATGGCATCAAAAACTGTCATGGCACATGTTTCTGGAGCTGTATGTTAACCAGGTCTAGGCACTCTTGCCCCATAATCAAGCATGCTAATTAAACTACCTATATAAAGAGCTTTGTTTAATATTGAAAAAGGTTAATAATTCTCTGAGGAGATGTACTTAGCCCCCCCTTGGCCTCCATTTCCATGAGGAGTACCCAAAACTGCATTGAGCTCCATTACAGATGCCCTAAGACCCAGTTCTTGATGTTCAAGAAGAAAAACAGGTGCTGGCATATATGTAATTTTCTGGTGCTGGCATGGGTAATTATCAAAATAGCACATTAGCATGAAAAATGTCAATGCAACTCTCAGCTCCACGAGCTCTGCCTTCCCCACAAAGTGCTGTCTGCAGACCTATGTAAGGATGCTGGCATTACACAGCTTTGCATAGTTCCTTTCTTCACAAGGAACGGCCTGGAGAATGCCACAAGCTCACGAATCCCCTGTGTTGTCCCACCAGGCATTTTCCATGGTGGGATTTGGGGTTGGAGATGGGGTGGAGGCAGCACCTCAGCTCCAAATAGCATTGGGAGGGTGTCAGGGAGCAGGAGAGCTCCTGGAAGGTGGGAGGTTTGAGCCGGCTCTGAGTGGGGGCTCAGCCTGGCTTCTGCAGGAGCACAGAGCTGCAAAATTGGCTTTGCAAGACGCTTTGCAGAGCAGCTGATAAAATCTCGAGAAAGAATTTGATGTCTCTTTTAAAGTGTGTTTTCAGACACTAATATCAGTGTCACCTCCAAATATGCTCTTTTTTTTTCTTCTTCTTCTTCTAAGGAGCTGATTTTCTACTTACTTTGCAAATTGATAGCATAAATTGCAGCCTGTTTGGTGACATGTTACCAAATAATTTTTCTCTCATGAAAAATCACTTTGAACAGAGCATATCAGTCACACATGACAATCTCTTATCTCCGTGCCTTCCCATCTCCGCCGAGTAACCTGGAAATTGCATTCCATATTTGTTTAAAGGATGCCTGCACCTACACATGTGAGCACAGGCAGCTTGTTTTGCTGAAGGCATCTAGAAAAATATTCCTGGTAGCTCCAGGAGGAGCTGAGAAGCAGGAGGGGATGGTGTGAGTGCTGTGAGTGCTGGTGTGAAACGAGTGTTAACCGGGTGTGAGTAGTGGGAGAATCTGTCAGCACTCCCTGTCTGTGTTATTTTAGGGCTGCACCTGAGGGCAAGGTGGGACTTTGGGCCTTTTTGGCTGCTGCTTCTGTTCAGTGATAAAACAAGAGGAACAGGGGAGAAAAATCTGTCAGCGGTGCTGGGTGTAAATGGCACCTTTTGGGGTTGGGAATAGCCATAAACATTTAAACAGGACACATTTAAATGTCACCAGTCCCTTTTCCAGAACATACCAGCTCTGATTTGTTGGGAGCTGTGGGACCAGTCCCACAGACTTATTGCAAGCTCCAATTACTGGCTAAGGAGATAATAGGCTTAATTATCCAGACTCATTTTCCATTATGATTTAGGATGTCACTAATGCACATTCTCCTGCTGCATTACTGAGACTGTTTAGTTATTTTAGATTTTGTGGCTCCTTTCCCCAAACATCTTAGTGCTGAGAGCCTTCAGATAGTGGAATTCACCCCTGGCTTTAACCCTTTGATTTCTGCCTACACATTCTCACGTGGCCAGAAGAATAGGTCTGATGGTCTGGGCTATGATGGGACACTGCAAAATGAGTGGCTGAAATACCTTTTTTTCAGATTATGTTTTTTAGCCCAGGTAATTCATAATTCTGGGTCCCATCAGATTTGTATGAAGAGTTTTTCCACCACTGTTGAGAAGGGAATGGCTTCAGGAGAAGGGCCAGGGCTCTATGGCACACTTTGGGATGAGCAGGAAGGCTTTGAATTGATGTTGTTGGGTTTGGCAGCAAAAATGCAGCATTAAGGTGGATCAGTGAAAATGAAGGATTAGATTTTTTGTATTTAAATAAAAAGCAAACAGCAAACTAACTAAATGCATCCATCCAAAATTCAAATTGGCTTGCAGTGAGCCTCAATTTAATGGGAACACTTCAGTTATGGCTGGGCTGTGGTGCTTAGGAAGCTTGATTGAGATGAAGCTGACTTTGAGAGATCTATGCTTGTAATTTCAGCTAAAATTTAGATCAATTTAGCTTAAAAAGCTTCACTGTAACCTAAATTCCACTAGTGGGAAGATATTTCAATATGGATTTCACAAAACTTCTCTAAGAGAAGTTTAGGCAGTTTTAGAAGTAGAAAAAGCTTAAAAATCAAGTATCATTTTTTTTTGATCACTAAAAGTCTTCTGTTACCAAGTCAGAGAAAGAAGGGGGAGAATTTCCTAGGAAAAATGGATTAAATACCAGTGCCTGATTTAACATTGATGATAACGCAGATAGAAGCAGGACTCTTTTCACAATTACAGAAATACTTATTGCACCATAAAAACCTGAAGGAACAAAGCATTAGCCATTCCCCTCATTTTCTGGATGCAAGCCAATTATAATCCATATTCTTCTCTCTCTTTTTAATGTAGCTCCAGTTCTTGGTGCTGTATTTTTGGGGATCTCATGGGCAAATTCTTCGGGTTGTGCATGGAGTTCCTCCAGTTTGTTCATCTGATGTTTATAAAAGTGGGGATGTAAGGGGCAAAGGTGGTTTGTGTTCACCACCAAGCAGAGCTGTGCTCCCTCCCTTCAGAGCTGGTCAGTCCTCTGGAAAGCAGGGATTTCTGTGGGATTGAATGCAATGAAAAATCCTGGAGTCTTAAACCTTCGGAGGCTCCATCAGCAAATATAAAAACATCAATTTCAGTGGAGAATTGCATGTTCAAATCAAATGAAAGGATACGGTTTGTTGAAAAGGGATTTATTGGACCTGAATACATTTTCTCTAGCCAAGATAGCTTCTCCCATGTGGAACTCATGAGAAAGGATTTTCTTTTATTTCTTTTTCTTTTCAGATAGCTCTGATTAGGCACCTAATGACAGTTGCCATTCTCTGGTCAATCTGCTGTAATTCAATATTAGTGGAAAAATAAGGCACCTTTTTCCTTGCTCTTTGAAGATGAAAATGAGCCTTCTTCACCTCTTTTCTTTCACTCAGAGCTTTTTTTTTTTGTGTTGTGTGTGAGTTTCTTGGTTGGGTGTTTTTCCTCAGAAGATGAGCTGCTCTTTGGAAACAACAGTCTGCAAAGGAAATATATGTGTGATCAAAGCCCTCACCAATTACAGAGTTATTACTCTTTCTCCTGGGCTTTTGAATAGGAACTCAGTGTCCCTGTCTCTGTCAGCAGAGCTCGTGGCAGTGCTGCAGTGCCTGACATTTTCTGTCCTGGAACCCTTTGCGGGAAATTCACAGCGATCTGCTCTGCCAGGGCTTTGCTCATATTAAGTTTAATTGTAACTCCAACATTGTAGATCCTAATTGTGTCTCTCTGCTATTGCATTCAGGCACATAATAGACCTGGGTGGCTTGTGAAGATGAATATAAATTCATTTTGTAACACAGCTGTGTCAAACTACCCGCTGCTGGCTGAGGCAGATGTGACTCTACAACGACTGTGGTATAAACCCTCTGTGATTCCCCAAGGACCAGAAATAATAAAACTTCCAATGATGATTTTGGTGATGTAGAATCGTGTTAGGGGGTACATCTGGGAGGAGAGACAGTTCAGGGCTGCTCACCCATGTTTTTTCCAAGAAAGGGCTGCTCACCCATGTTTTTTCCCCCCAAAACATGGGGCTGCTCACCCATGTTTTTTCCAAGAAAGGCAGGACCATCCTCCAACTGCTGCTTTCCAGGCTCTACCTTGAAAATCCCTCCTGGACATGTCTCCAGGATAAAGTGGCTCATGTGAGGGTGTGCAGAATAGTTGTAGGGCTGAGCTGCAGGGAGGGTGGCAATCTGCCAGTTCCTTTCCCTCTTCCTTCATCATCTGAAAGAGCAGATTTTAGGAAAATGGCTGTTTATTCTTGTGCTTCATGAACATTCTTTACCTTGTTTTTCCTCCCTTTCTTATACATGATCTAAAACCCTGAGCTGCTTTATCTTTCCCCAGAGAAATCCAGCAAATGGCTTGTATTGCATCACCCATTATTAACACAGAAATAGATGAAACCACTCTATTTTCAGATTAAATATTGAAGGCTGAGCACTGGGTTTCAAACATCTGAGTTTTCTTAGAGGTGTAGTCAAGTGAAATCTCCCCAAGTCTTGTTCTACAGGGGCAATGAGGTTAATCTGTGACTGTGCAGCCAGAAACAAATTCCCCTGATCTTTTTAGATGTGAAGTAGCAGGAGGAAAATGATTCTTGGCTAGGAGAAGACAAGAGATGCAAATGGTCTGCACGAGCTCTGCTTTTCCCATTAGTGGAGGCGCCCTTTCCTCACCAGCAGTGTTTCCTTGGTCAGCTACTGTATTATGCAGCTCCTTTATTTTTGCCCTGCTCTTCTTTAGGTCTCTTCCCCCACCTGAAGGCATTGACCAGGTGTTTTAAACCCTCCTTTACTGTTTATTTTGCAGGCACTCCCCGAGGGGCAGACGGCGTCCTGGGATACGGCCAAGGAAGACGAGAACCGCAACAAGAACAGATATGGAAACATAATCTCCTGTAGGTGTAAATTCACATTGAACTAGGCATCCTGGGGGATCTTACCTGTGTGCTGTGGAGAAGGGTGTGTTTGAGAAGCTCACCAGGAGCTGGCTAGCAGTTCTGAGTGTGTTCAGTCCATTTGTTACAGGCTTTATTCCTGGGGTTTATTCCTGGGGTTTATTTTACTTCATGTTTTTTTAATCCTTAGTTTTCATAACATCCTTGCATGATGTTACACATTTTCTACCTGCCTTGCATCCTGCTTTAGGTTTGTAGCTCAAGGGCTAAGTCCTTTTGTCACTTTTTATGTGATGATGTCCATTTTCTGACTATTTTCACTACAAAACCCAGAGCTTCCAGTGCCACAAAAGAGAGGAGCTGCAGATGGATCAGACTTTTAGCTGTGGCTCAGAGGCCAGGTTTTCTCCTTCCTTGTGGTCAGTAACCACTGGAGCAGTCACTGCTGGTCCCTAGAGCTGGTTTGAAGGGTGGGACAAGCTTAACTTCTGCCTCAGGATCATAATAAGGCAGCTGAAAATGCACTAAAATGTCTTGGCTTACTTCTTTCAGTGATCAGTTCCTGTTGGTGTTACAGGAATATCAATACACAGCAGAACTGCAGGGCAGGAAAGAGTCCATAAAACTATTTAAGACACCTTTATTCTTCAAAGCAAGACTAAACTCACCTTCCTCATTTTTGTCAGATATTTGTGAAGCCTCTTCCAAAGTTTCTCTCCAAAACTGAGCTTTCCAGAAGCTCTCCAGGCAGTTCACCAGTGTTTCATTATTCCTGATAATGACTGGGGAGAGGAGGTATGAGAATTCATTCTTTTCAAGGGCTGCTGAGCTGAATCAAGTTGGAGAAGCCAAGCTTGAAACCATCAGAATAAGAAATCAGAATATAAATGAATGTGCCATAGATTTTCATGACTGGGAAAATCTATAGAATGCTCTGAGAGCAAAATTAAGTCGTGCTGAGTGATATATTTCATACTATATTTATTCTTGGGTTAAAAATTTATTTCTTGTAGAACAGATAGATTTTACCAAAAATTTTTTTTAAAAGCACAAAAAAAAACAAAAACAAAAACAAAACCACCAAAAAAGCACTAAAACAGCAACAACTCAACTGACCCAAAAACCCAACTTCTTCATAAAGAAACCTCACCTCACACATCACTACTCCTCTCTCTGAAGCCTTGAGATAAGTGATTCATGTGTCATTTTGGGGGAATGACCTAGAACATCTCAGTTCAGGTAAAGAGGAAGGAACCTGGAAATGAAGATTGAAGTTTGTGAGCCCTGATGTGATCCCAGTTCTGCTGCTGGCTTTGTGTGGTTTGTGAGCAGGTCACCAAGTTCACCAGTGTTCTTTATCCATGTGGGAAATGGAAGTGACAGTACTGGAATGTTGCAATTAGCATGGAAGTTGTCTCCCTTAATTTCAACTCCACCTCCCTTCGAGCTTTCTATGTCCCAGTGGCAAAGAGAGATGTCCTGACAGAGCCTCTGTTCACCTCTCCATACAATTAACTCCATTAAATGAGTCTAAGACAGATGAATCATCCAGCTATAGACACTGGATTGAAAGTGGAAGTGCTGTGGTATGATATAATGAAGGAAATATGAAAGGATTTGTTTCTTTGGATGATTTTGAGGAAGCACTTGGCATAATTCAAAAGAGGAGGTGAAAAAAGGTAAAACTGTGCAAAAGCTTCCATCTCATTTATGTTGAAGATGGTCATGAAGAAAACCTTGAACTCCAAGTGAAATGTGAGGAGTTCAAGAAGCAAAATCAAGAAGATAAATGGGATGTTATCTAAAGAGAAGGTGTTCACAAAGACAAATTGTTGTCTAACGAAGAGTGACGCGAGGCTTTGAGCTCTAAATATAAATACAGCAGCCGTGCAGATAGGAGGTGATGAACTTGAATAAGGGAATGCAAAATGTAATCAGAGCTAAGGAACAAGAATCTGCACGGTGTGAAGTGTCAGAAAAGGAGCTCAGGTTTGAGGACTGTTGGGAAAGATTTGCGAATGGGGCTGAGAGGGTGGAGTGGGCTTTCTTCTCTTCAAATATTTATTGAAGAGAAGGAGACAAGAGCTCTTTTAAAAGATGGCAAGGAGAATTTAGAAATATACAATAGTGATATTGAGAAGGCTTGGAAGGGAGAAGAAAAGAAAGATGCCTAGGGAAGGAGCATATAATTCATCTGGGATTTCGTAAAATTGTTTCAGAGTTATCAGCTGAGCATGGAGCCAGACCTCACTGGTGGGTGAGTTGGGCAAACTCCCTGAGTAGAGTCAGGGCAGGAGCCAGAGCAGAGGATGAAGAGCAGAGGAATAGCAGGGCAGTGCTTCCCTCCAGGCAGGTCATGATTACAAATTGTGCTCTGTGGGTACAAACTGGGCAAAAGCCTGGGCAGAGGAGGTGGAACACAGTTATACCCTGAGCTGTTTTGTTGTACTTCAGTTGTAGTGGCTGATGAAACCCAGAGCAGGCACTGGTTGCCCCTACCAGTTTATTTGGTAAAAGGCTGCATGTAGCAATTAACATTATTTATTTAGCCATTTATCCCTCCTGGAACAACAAATCCCCTGCCTTTTGGGGAGTGAATTGGAAAGTCAGGTTTTGATCTGACTTCTGCAGCAGGGCTCCAGAGACTGGTGTAAGAATGTGGGTTTGTAAGCCCTTGCAATGAGTAGCATTGCTCAGTGAATCACAGCAGATTAGATCTTGTCTTTACAGCCTCGTGGGTAACAGCACACTTACAGGTCTGTTTTACTGGCTCACTGCTCTCCCAGAGCTGCATTAACATCGTGCCTCTCTCTGAAAGCCTCGATCGCACTGCCAGCCCCAACACCTGCTCTTCTTCTTACATTTGCAAACCAAAGCTGCAGACCAGCCTGAGATCTGTTCATGCAGAGGAGGGGCAGAACTCAAAGAGCTTTCCCAGCTTTCCATCATTCCCTCCCATCTGTAACAGTTTTTGGAGCAAGGAAGGAAAAGCTGAGAAGTGGATTTGGGGTCTGCATGACCACAGAAATCCACTGTGTATGGTGAGAAGTTGCAGATTTACCATGCTGAAGGAAGCTGCCCTGCTTGAACCTTTTATTATATGAACAGAGCCCATGAGCTTTGCTCCTGCACTTTTATAAAAGCTGTAAAAACAAAGAGAGTCGTGAAGATGCCAGGATTTTCTTTAGGGGACAAGCGTAGGCAGTGTACCCATTTATGTGCTGAAGCAAAATTATTTAATTCTGCTTTAGGGCCCAGATATTGAGACCTTCAAAGAGCATCAGATAGTGATTGTTGGGCAAGGGATGTTGAGCTGAAGCTATTACAAGAGAAGAGAAAATGTCCAGAAGCTATATGGGACCTTTGGTTCTATTTGATTTCTCTCCATCTTGCCAAGATTTAGAGCCATTAACATTGTGGGAGAATAAAAGCTCTCAGATGAGAGCTGAGGATGGGAAGAGGTAGGATGATGTTTTCCTTCTGCTGATGGAGAGAACTTTCTGTGCCTTTCTTTTCCTCTCTTTGAATTCTCATGATGGTCCACTAAAAACTACAGAGCTAGTGACAAAAAGAAAGTGGAGAAATTTGCTTTGTTTCCTTCATTCTCTGACTGCCATATGCTTTGGGTTGGAAAACTGTGAATTAATCAGAGAATTTTGGGGTGGAAGAGATGAAGCTTTCAGCTGGCACACAGGTGGAGAGAACCTCTTGCTCAGAGACAGGGATAAGAAATGAAATTTTAAAAAAACTACAAAGAATTCCAGACTTTGGGTGGGAAGGGACCTTAAAGCTCATCCAGTTCCACCCCTGCCATGGCAGGGACACCTTCCACTGTCCCAGGCTGCTCCAAGCCCTGTCCGACTGGCCTTGGGCACTGCCAGAGACAGCTGGTGCCTGTGCCTGACATTTAGAATAGAAATCCTTAATTTCCAAGCACTTTTATTCCATTATTTCTTTTGTAGTGCCTAAACTCTTGCACGTCTGTGTGATATCCCATGGAATTTGTGTGTTATCCCATGGAATTTGTGTGATATCCCATTGAATTTGTGTGATATTCATGGGATTTGTGTGATATCCCATGGAATTTGTGTGATATCCGTGGAATTTGTGCGATATCCTTGGAATTTATGTGACATCCCATTGAATTCGTGTGATATCCATTGAATTTGTGTGATATCCCATTGAATTTGTGCGATATCCAAAGAGTTTGTGTGATATCTATGGAATTTCTGTGATATCCATGGAATGTGTGTGATACCCCATGGAATGTGTGTGATACCCCATGGAATTTGTGTGACATCCATGGAATTTGTGTGACATCCAAGGAATTTGGCCCTGACAGGGTGTGATTCATCCCACCTGGATGTTGCCCAGCTCTCATGGCACACTCCAGGGTCAGCGGGGGCAGAAAGGGGAGCACAGAGTGAGGATAAATCATGGTTTTGTCCCAGGACTGGGGTGAATCTGCAGATTTGTGTGTGTTTCTCCACCCCTGAGCGGGGAACCCTGGCAGGCAGTCGAGATGAGCTGTGTAATGTTTCGGTGGCGAAAGTTGTGTGAGATTAATCCAGCGCTGGTGTCAAAATGAGACGTGGAGAAATTGCAATGATACTTCAAATGATCACTAATGGGAATTTTGACAGGAGTTTAAAACAGTAACAATTTTGTGCTAAAGTGGGAGCACAGAGATTTTCAGTGAAATTCTTGTCATTTTTGAAGTCTGTTTTAAGACCAATTTTCAGTCAAACTACTCTTCACATAAATTTAGAGTTCTGCTAACTAGCAGAAGGAGTGGAGTAAGCAGGGAGAAATAAAACCATTTACACATTTGTTAAGTTTTTTTCTATTTTTTGTGGTCCTGAATGCAACTTTTCCTTTTTTTTTTTCTGTTTACCCTTCATTTTTAATATTTTTAGAGTCCATTTTCAACACACAGGGATTTAATGTGTGATAAATTTAGTGAAGTGTTGAGCAACACTTTCATTTCAGTCTGCCAAGAATTCTGTGTTCTGTGTCCTTGGCTAGAGGAGTCCAGTGGATAAAGAGAAGAATCAGAAATAAGTTTTAACCACTGGGAGAAGAGATAATAAATGCATTTGCTGTTCTTTAAATAGCTCTTTAAAGGCTGTAGGCAAAAAACCCTAAGTACAAGATCCTTACTACTAAGAGCATAATAATTTGCCTTTTTTTTTTTTTTTAGTCAAATCCCAAAGTTTTTTTTGTGGAAAAAAGCGATTTACAAGGGAACTTATTTTATGAACTTTTATCCAGACTGTTCTCCTAAACTTTGGAACAAGGTTAAAGAAACCATTAAGACATCATTAATATTTTCTGTGCTTCACATATACACAGATTTTTTTTTTCTGCTGCACTGTTCTCGCTTGGAAGAGCAATAAATCTCCCTCAGGAATTAATCTCATTTTAGTAAAATACACAATGAAATATTTTGAATTCTGTCCTCTGAAAGAAAAGTTCAGCTTAAAGCATTTTTCATTTGGTCCCAAAATATGATTAGAACCGAGTGTCTCCTTTTAAAAACAACAACAAAAAAATAGCATTAATCTTCAGTTAAATTTCTTCATCCTTTATGCTGTTTTCCCATATTTGACTTTAAAAAAAGGAGGGAAAAGGAAAACAAACCAACAACAGTTTTTTGCACCTACAGAGCATCATTTCCTTAGCCATAATTATTGTCTGAATAATTGTTTGAAATCATGGAGCTGTCCTCAGCTTGCTTCCCACGTCTTCCCCATTCAGCTCCCCCTGGATGTATTTCATCCTGCCAACTTGAACTTTCTGTCCAAAGAGTGGCACAAAGTGCTGAAACTTAATTTTGATGTTTGGCTCCATTAAATGAAGAGAGGCAGGTGCTTCCTCCAGGGTTATTCAGAGCTCTCCAGCTGCAGACATTGTCTGTGTCCCTCATTAAAAGATGAACCTGAAATCCTTTTCCCCTCTCATTGGGGACACTTTTGGTCTCATCATTTTTGGTCTCATCATTTTTTGGTTGTTGCAAACAGCATTTCATGTTGCTGCAATGAGTTGACACTTCCACAGTGGTGTTCTCTTGGGAGGAGTCAGTAAATGTTCCCCTCCCAGGCATTTGCTCCAGGGTTTGCTTCTTCTTTGCTGTTGTTCCATGTGGCTCCTAACATGTTTAGTTTGCTGCCTGGAATTGCAAGTGTGAAATTGTCTGCAGGAGTTTCCCTGTATTTCACCCACATGTCCGGTTTAATCAGCTCTCTGTCTGTCTCTGTGAATTGCTCTAAGTATAAATTCTTTTGTTGTCTGTCTAACCACATGATTTACTTCCACTCCTCGTGCAGCTGCCTTGAGTGCAGGTAATTGGGAACATCAGCACTTAGAGAAATATTCCCCCTTCCCTGTGTCTACAAAGGTTATATTTATTAATACAAATATAACAGAGCTTTTGATGGATTTATGTGCAGAACCTTCTTTGAATGCAGATATAGGATTTGATAAATGCAGCAATGTGGTTGTGGTTTTTTTTTTAGGTGTGTAAATCTCACCCAATGGCTGAACAGAGTGGAATCATTCCTTTACACAGCCAAATGAATATTTAATATATGTCCAAGTCTTGGTTTTCAGAACTGCTCCCACATCTGTCTTCACAATTATTATCTGATTCTACATTTAATTAAGACATGACTAAACCCCTTTTGACTGAGTTACTGCAGAATCACACCTCATATTTTTATGTTTCATTGCTATGATTCTTTTTAATTGAATGTAAATCATGCTCAGGCCTGTGTTCTGCAAAGTGCTGCTGAACATTAATGCTGCTCTGACTGAGAGCTATGCTCCATAGAGCTGGTAGGGAGGAAATAAACTTAATGGACTCGATATTATACTTCTTTTAAAAAATCATTTAAAAACGAGCACAGCGTGGCCAGCAGTGACCCCCATAACCCAGTGGCCTCTGCCAAGCAACTGGCCCTTAGAAGCAGTTCTGCAATTAACTGCATGCCAGGGCTGGGATTGCCAGAGCAAATCACATCAGCAGCCTGGCTCTGGAGTATCTCCTGCGACAGAGCCCAGCACCAGCTGTTCCACAGAAAGATCAAAATATTCCCCTGGTGGAAAATCATGACATAATCTGCCCGCTGGGGTCGTTCCTTTCTGCGTCTGAGCTGTGGAGCATGCTGGGAGATGAAAAGATTGATCTCTGCTATTTTATTGCCTTATCTAAAGTAACTTTGAATCTCCTCAAAAAGATGAACAGTTCTGATTTTGTTGGTTTTTTTCAACGCTGCCTCGATGCCATTTTGCTGCTGTGGGTTGCATAAAGGAATGTTGCTCTGATTTAATTTGTATTTCCTTCCAGTTTCTGGGGTTTTTTTCCATTTCTTATTTGCAGAGTTTCATTGCTATTTTACTCCCAGTAATCTTTTCTGTCGTGATCTATTTAATTATGTCCTTGTCTTGTCAGTTTTAGCTCTTGCCTCAGTTTCCATAGATCAGATGAAGCCAAGGGAGCTTGGAGCTTCCAAGCAGGAAAATGGTTTTTGTCATGGAGATACACCTTGCAAAGATCTGTCCCAAACCAGGTGGCATTTGTGACCTGTCTCAAATCTCCATAAGGATTATGGTGACAGAATACAGAGCATGAGTAACTTAAGGATCTAAACCTCACATCTTAAACACAAAACAAAAGGGCTTTTAGCAGCAGGGATACATGTGATGCTATTCCATTTTTGATTGTTGTAAGTATTCAATATTCAATTACCATGGTGGGATTCTTGAGGCCAGGAGTTGCCCTTTCAGCTCAGGGCATTGCATAATTCCACCCCTTGCAGGAGCCAGCAGACGCACCAGAGCACTTAGAAACTCCTCTTTATCGTTACTGTCACTTCTTTTCCTTTCCTTCCCTCAGATGATCACTCAAGAGTGAGACTGCAGCTGCTGGATGGGGACCCTCACTCCGACTACATCAACGCCAATTACATCGACGTAAGGCTCCTGGACATCCCCCTGTGACAAACCCTCCTGTGACAATCCTGATTATGAATTTGGTGCCTCTGACACAGGGACAGGCTGTGGATGCGAGATGAGTGACAGCTGAACATTGTACAAACGCTGTGTTGTGACAGGGAGAAGGTTCTCAGTCTCCAGTTTATTTTGTCTGACCAATCTGGGCAGATGGAGATTTCCTGTGTTTGACAGATCCACCAGCAGAAGTGGGACGTGGGCTTAGATGATGGATGCAGAAATCAATATCAGCCCCTCACAATAGCATTAGTTGATATCAGAGACTTGCCAACTACTCACAAAGTTGTGGTGCAGAAGGCATGTATGTAAACAGATTGAATTTTTTTAAAGTGTTCTAAAATGACATTGGAAAAGCTGCCTCTGTCTCACACACAGTGATCCAATTTATGAGCATTTCTTCAACACAGCTCTGAAGTCACAGCAAAAGGAAATGTTTAGAATAGTTTCTTGAAAAGATGAAATATACTCTCAGAATTTTCACAGAGACAAATTCATACCTTTCTTCTTTTCAAACAAGAAGATGCAGTGTTTTGCCTATCTGTTTTCAGTGTTTCCCTCAGGTAACTCAGGATTTGTGTTTCTTTGTGGGAATTGTTTAAAATTACCCCATTCCTGTCTTATCTTTGGCAAGAAGAGATTGTGTTATTCATCTGAAAGAGATGCCCTTATTTAAAATCTCTTAGGGCCAGCCCCTTCATTCATTCATTCGTTCATTCATTCATTCATTCATTCATTCATTCCATAACCAGTTAATTATAATATATTACATAATTATACACTGTCCAGAGGGCAGCAGTTGGCACCTGGAAAGTATCAAATCCCTGGTGGGCTTTGTCTGAGCTATGATTTCACAGACATTTATCTATTTTCTTTTTTTTTTCCAGGGGTACCATCGGCCTCGCCATTACATTGCAACTCAAGGCAAGTTCACTCTTGTATGTCTAAATATTTGTAAACCCACTGCTGGTTTACACTGTTGTAGGAGCTTTTGGTGGGGTGACATCTTCTGTTTTGGGTAACACCTGAAAATTTGTTATTTGGGTATCATTGAAGGGGTGTCAGGGACAGGTAAAGGTGATACAGAGACTCCATCATCAGAAGGCATGAAAAGGAACTTTATTATTAGAAATTCACAGTTCTTATAGAAGCAATTGTGGACCTAAGACCTGACTGGCCATTAGGAATCTTCTCTCACCTATTGGTCAAGAAGGGACAGCTCCTTCTTGCAGACATCTTTGACAAACAGAGATTGCCTTCCAGGTGCAGAGATTGAGATAATAATTGTTTTAATTCTTTGAGCTTTCTCACAGCTTCCCAGGAAAATCCTGGGACAGCTGTGTCTCTCTCTGCTCAGTGGACATGTGATTACTACCTATAGGCAAAATAAGGAAGGACATAGAATTTTCCAAGATCTTTATGGCACTCAGAGTTAAAACCTCAGCTGCAGGAATAGAAAATGCCACAGAGTTAGAGGTGGCAGCACAGCCTAGAATGTGTCATTTGTGCATGAAATATGAAAGGACACTTACAGGGGACTCTGTGGGTCTTGGGTTTACCCTGCTTGAGGAGGACAGTGTGAATAAGCTGTGACTGATGAGCCTTTGAGGTGAGCTAGTAAGAAATGCATTTGAACATCACCTTCTGTAAGTCACCTGAAGAGTTTCTGATAAGAAATAAAGTCAGGGAGAGTCTCTAGCCTGACAAACCTCTTGTGGGCACTGGTTGGTTGGCTGTTGGAGCCTGAATTTTTTCTGGGGAAGCTTCAGGAAAGAGCAAATTTCTGCATGTTTTCTTCCTTCTTCATAATCAATCAGTATTGAACTGTGAAATGGTGTGCTGCATCAGGTGTGAATTACAACACAGCCTTAATACAGCTTCAGTGAGGGGTACATCCTTGTCCCATCACTCAGAGTTACCTACTGGGGCCACCCTTCTGCTGCCACCGTGCTGGAACCTCAAAAAGCTGCTGTGAGGAAGGGTCTGACCTCCCAGAGAGCTCAGGCTGTTCGTGTCTGTAACCCTGAATGGCACAGGGATGCTCTGAGAGACAGCAGGATCCTGAGGGAGCAGCACAATGGCTGGAGAGCAGCTGGAAGGGGTCATTGCCATTCCATGCACTCTCTTGAGATGTCCTTTTTGTCTTCTCTCCTGCCCCAGGGCCGATGCAGGAGACAGTGAAGGATTTCTGGAGAATGATTTGGCAAGAAAACTCTGCGAGCGTTGTCATGGTCACCAACCTGGTAGAGGTGGGCAGGGTAAGGTGCCACTGCCAATGTGAGAAACCAGACCAGGGCTGGCTTTAACACAGAGCTGCTGCTCAGGAGAGCTCAGCAGCACAATGCCTTTTGCTTCCTGCAGGAAGGGAATTAATTCAGCCACTCTGGGTTTTGTAATACTTAGCTGCTTCCCTTCTAGACTAATAAGGAGGGTGTTCCTGCTGTAAGTCTGGGCTTTGGCACTGTTATACACATTTATGCTAGCTCAGAGGCTGTCTCCTTCCTCAGGAGAAGGAAAAATGTACTTCCATAACAGTTATTCCTTATCTGATGATTTGAGTACTCCTCTAAAAATCCAGAGGAGTGAGGATGTGTGACTGGTGCTCCAACTACCAAAAGACCTCTTTGCATGAGAGTCCAAACCTGGAGGTCCTGAGGTCACTGTTCCTGGGGGTTTTTGTGGATCCTGGGACCACCCAGCAGTGTTGGCCTCCCAAACAGCCACCAATTCCCCCTCCTGCACTGACCTGGAGCAGACATCCCTGTGTCAGCACAAGGCAATTCCCAAAGCCCATCATGGGACCAAACATGGATAAATCAAAAGGTGTGGGCTGGACCTCAGGAAATAAGAAGGCAGGATGTCTGGGGTGGCTTTTCCCAGCATGGTTTTTGTTTTAGAGATGTTCTCAGCCAGAAACCAGAGTTCTTAAAAAATTTTGTCCTGATGTTTGTCACTTTCCATTGCTTTGGTACTAAGAAAAATTAAAATTCTCGTTTACTCAGAGCCATTAGTAATTCAGCTGCTTTGTGTTTGATTTCCCTTAGATCTCATGGTTGAATGCCAGCTGCTTCTGTTCATTTATTACTATTTATTCTATTTTACCTTCTACTGACACTTCAGTTCTGAATAAATGCCTCTGTGTAAAAGAAAAAAAAAACAAAACTCAAACAACAAAAAACCCACAACAAACCTACATTAATCATATTTAATATTTATAAAACCCCTTTCAATTATGACTGGAACTGGAACATGAAGCCTGCTTTGCTGCAGCTAATTGCTTCAGCTTTAGGTATTGTTCCACTCTTCATGCTAGAGCATTTAATAACCTGATAGTCTTTGTTAGCCTAAATATCCCTTCTGGAGCTTCACAGCCCTGCTTTTATTTCTTTTTGGTGGTTTTGCACATGGCTCCTAGAACTGGCTAAGCTGGGATATGTTTACCTGCTCAGGAGATTTCTCTCTTGAGCCTTAGCTGAAGCTTGTCACAGCTGGTAAAATGCCAAGTTTGTGTCCACATCTGATAAAGAAAGCTCAGAGTCAAACAAATTTAGTGTCTCAACATGTATCCCACAATCCCCATGAACTGAAAGTCTTTGGCTAAACAGAGAGAGGTGAGAATTACAGGAGCAGTAGCAAAGATTTTTCTCAAAAGGGATGGTGGTGGTGACTGTCAGGTGTTCTGTACATCTGATATGGGCCAGACATGTATGGAAATTCAAAGAAGATTTAAAAAAATAAATCTAAATGCATCCTTTGCATTTGTATGGACAACAAAGGGAACATAAAAAGAGTCCTGCCTATGGTTTCTATGAATGGTAAAGGAATTTTGATCTAATTTATACAGCTAATTTTGGCAACTCTGCACACCAGAAAAAAAACCAATTTTTATTGGCTCCGGCTTGAAAGAGGAGGAAAATGTAGGTCAGCTGTGACTCAAGTTGAACTAGTTGCTCTCAATATTTTCCTTCTGCCCCCAGGTGAAGTGTGTTCGATACTGGCCAGATGACACAGAGGTCTATGGAGATATTAAAGTCACATTAATTGAGACAGAGCCACTGGCAGAGTATGTCATACGCACCTTCACTGTCCAAAAGGTAAGGAGGTCTTCAGGCAGCTGAGCTTGTGACACACTTCATTTGTGTTCAGAAACTCTGGGAAGCACATCCAGAACGCTCTTGGAGGTGGGAGCTGTGCTGTTTGGACAGGCAAACTCAAATTTTTGACAGGGATTCCATTTTTGGACAAATGATTTTACAGGAACATCTTGATGCAGCTACGAAAGTAGAATCCACAGTGCATAAAGTTTAACTGCATCCAAAAGGCAGCAGATAGCTGATGGTATGCCAGGAATAATAACTGCCTTGTTTCACAGTGGCAAATGGCAGAGGAAAAAAGGTACCACTTAAACTGATGCCAGATAGGGTCCCCTTTCATCAGAAATGAGAATATAATAAGAGCAAGAGTATAAAAACTATCCCCAAACCAGCAGGATTTGGAAGATTTTGTTACTTGTAATTAGAAATTGGAAGTCTAAGTGTCAGAGTATTCCAGGTCTGTCCGAATTACTTTCCAAACACTCAGTAAGTGGTTTTAAAGCCTTTCCAAAATTCCTGCTCAATGAACTTCAGCCACAGTGGGAATATTGTTTCAGTTTTCTGATACATCAACTCCGTATTTCATTAAATTGTTGAAAAACTTGGTGAGAAATGCTAATGCCAAAATCTGACAGGCTAGAGGAGCTGCTGCTGGATCCCACCCACGTTTCCTGTACAATAAAACACAGCTGACCCAAGGTTGTGGGTTACCCTTTGCAGGGCAGATAAAGATGTGATTTTCACACACCAACAACTTGCTGTCTCCAGAAAAGATGGTTCTGGGTACCAACTCCTGCCCTTTTCACTGCCAGCAGCATCTCAAACTGAGAATTTTTGGCAGCAGGTGGCAAAAAATCTGCTGTTACCTGGGGCATGCCCACTCTTGGCATGTTCATTCACCAGGCTCTTGCTTCAATGGGTCAAAGAGGATTTAAGAGTGAATTTTTGGCGGTTTATGGCTGTGGGTAAACACAGCCATGGAGTGCTAGGGCTGAGGTCACCCTGATGAGGTGGGTGTGAGCTCTGAGACCACAGGTTGGAACTGAAAACCTGCACCCACCTTCCCAGCCCTCAGGTGAGTGTTACCCGCTGGGAGCTGGAATTTGGCTGTAAATGTTCTTTAGAGTGAAAAGCAGCCTGGGACACGTTTCCATGCATAGCGAGAGCTCAGTGCTCGTTATCCCTCTGCACGAGGGAAGGCAGCAGGGAGCAGGATATGCCGACTGGAGTCTGATGGGAGAGAAATAGAGGCTGTGTTGTCTCCTCAGAAAGGCTACCATGAGATCCGGGAGATTCGGCAGTTCCACTTCACCAGCTGGCCGGACCACGGCGTGCCCTGCTACGCCACGGGGCTGCTGGGCTTCGTGCGCCAGGTCAAGTTCCTCAACCCCCCCGAGGCAGGACCCATCGTGGTGCACTGCAGGTAGGCCTGGAATGAACATGTAGCACCTGCCATTCCCAACTTTGTTTCAGTGATCCCTGTTGGAATCTATAAAGTCAGAGGGTTTTTAGGAAATGGTTAAAAAAGTATAGGCTTCGGACTGAAGTTTTGTTAGCATTGCAAATACAGCAGAAAAGTTTCTCAAGCAGCGGAGCATACCTGACAAATAACAATAGGCTTCTGTAGAATTGGCTTATGGATGGCAACAAGGTTATTTAATGTGTATCTTTAGAAGGTTAGCATGAATAGAGCTCTGTTCTTTGTCTCTTATGAACCAGTCTTTGTTTTAACTACCATTACGTGTGTTTTATAAGATTAGATAGAATGCTTGTCAATATGTGTTGTTGTATGTATGATTGGCTGAAATCTAGACTGAGATGGTTTTATGTCATCTTGTAATACTCTACTTTCCCTGACATTCCCTGTGGATCAGCGAGCTGTTAACATCCTGTCTCCATTGTCGAACAATGTCCTGAGACCGATGTGCTGAAAATAAAAAAAAAAAAGCTCTTCACTGGTCTGGTTTGTCCAGTGTTGTCCATATCTGGACGTAACTGCCATGGCAAGTGGGTTCTTTTGTAAAATGTGAGTTCCTGACCCTTGCAATCCCCACCTGGTATCAATTAATTTCCTCGTTAAGCTCTAATCACAATGTATGATCTTTGCTAACTACATTTCTAACTTAACCCCTTGATTCATTTAAGCTCTTAATTAAAATATATAGTTTTCACTATTTTACTTGCATTCCTAGCTCAGCCCCTTGACTCATCACTTTTTCTTCCCTAAAGTGGCAGATCTGGAGCCAAGCTGGCATGAGTTGGAGATGATGGGAGTGGGTCAGCATTAAAGGCCTCACCTGGTCTGGTGAAAGGTGTCCCTGCCCACAGCAGGGGAGTTGGAACTACACCATCTTTAAGGTCCATTCCAACACAGACCATTCCATGATTTTATGGTTTTAGGGTCTGAAATATTTGTCTGGCTGAGCCTGGCTGACAGCCCTTGGGCACCTTGGCTTCCTGAAGGCCCAGGAGTTGGGTGAGAATCTCAGATTAAAAACTTCCAGCTAGCAAAATTCCAGTGGCTTCCAGCTGGCAAATAAAAGGAGTTAAATTACTTCAAATTCTACAAAACCACAGTTTGGGTTTGTAGCAGCAGCTGCAGGGCTCTGGGCATGTGTGAGCTAAAGAAGATGTGGCTTGAGCACAAGGCTAGAGTGCAGAGCTGGCCGTCCCAAAACCTCACCCCTAATCCATTCCATCCACAGGGAATTGCCTCTAGTTCCCACTCTGTGTCTTGAGAAAGAGAGAAAAAATACATCCCACAACTACTTTAAAAAGGAAAATCAATTAAATCTTTTCTAAGCAGTTTTGGATTGGGTGGGTGTTTTGTTTTGTTGGATTTTTTTTTAAATTTTTTTTTAGCAAGTTTTATAATCTGAGTCAGTTTTATAATCAAGTAAAGCTAAGCCTGAGGAGTTGGCAGAAGAGATTTCATTTACAGCGGAGGGCCTGAATTTGCTGCTTTGGTGCCATGGTATGGGGCTGGCCCTGGCAGGTGTCTGAACCTGACTCATTGTCACCAAGAAAGGAAGGAGAGATTTTTCATCTTTCCCATTTTAATGAATAAATGCCATTTCCTCTACGTTATTTATCTGATTTTGAATTTTAATGACTTGCTTTAAGTGGTAATTACCAAATTCTCCCCACTCATGCCTGGCTGGATAATATCACTGTTCGATATTTATGAAGTGCCAGGATCCTCTAAATATAGAACTGTTAAAACTATTTGTTAAAATTCTGAAAAGCTGAGAGATAAAGGGAGAGGAAATGCCACTTATTCATTAAAATTCTGCAAATGAAAAATATCTTCTCACTGTTCAGCAGTTGATTAATCTGGTCCATTAATTTATGGTCATTCATATCTCCTTGCTTTCGGCTCTGGTGGAGTTTTCAGTGCAGCTGAAGTTTCCCTGGTTTGAGCAGAGTTCTGCTTCCTTCAGAGTAATGTGAAGAGACTTCTGCTCTCTCCATCCTTCACACCTAAGCAGCTTGGCTGATTTCCCAGAGGGGAAGGAGGACACGATGACAACAGAGTTTTGCAGGAGATGGCCCCGTTCTCACAAGCAGTGGGGAGCTCTGAGCTGAAGGGTTCCAGCAGCCTCGAGCTCCTTTCTCTGAGATTTACAATCCATAACTTCATGACTTCAAATTACCCTCCTTAGGATCCAAACTCCTCAGGATTCCAAAGGGAAAGAAGTGTTTGAGGTGGAGGACTGAGCTCCTTTCTCTGAGATTTACAATGCGTAACTTCAAATCACCCTCCTCAGGATCCAAACTCCTCAGGATTCCAAAGGGAAAAAAAAATGTTTGAGGTAGAGGACTGAGCTCCTTGCATCATGCCCACTGGGGTAAATGTATGCATGCCTTCTAGAGAGTCCCAGGGAAGGGGAATTGTGTCTGTCTGGAATTGTGTCTGTTTGCAACCCAGTGGCTGCTCTCCCCTGTGTGATGAGAGGTGTGCAGGTGACCTGACCTGTAAAATTATAATGAGTATTTTTGCAATATTTTGTTGATGTTCAATAACACAAAGCTTTTGTTTCTGCTTCCCTTTCAAGAAGTACTATCTCCCCTCATTCTCTTAAATCCTAAAACAGAAAAATGAATCCTGCAGGGATCAGGAGCAGCTCCCAGGAGGAGATAGCAGTGTGTGTGCTGCTGTTATTCTCTCCTCCACAGAGCCCTGCCTCTCCACAGCCCCTTGGTCACACAGATCCTCCTGTTTTGTTTCTCTTGCAGTGCTGGGGCTGGGAGGACAGGGTGCTTTATTGCCATTGACATCATGCTGGACATGGCAGAGAACGAGGGCGTGGTGGATATATTCAACTGCGTGCGAGAGCTGCGCTCCCAGAGGGTCAATTTGGTGCAGACAGAGGTGGGTGCCAGCAGCTCTCCCCGCTCCAGTGATGCTTTCCTGTCAGCTTCCCTGCCCAGCAATTCATGAAGCCAACACTGGCTCGCTCTGTGCCTCAATTATGCAGAGCTTTTGGTGGCCAAACATGCCCAGATTTGCACTGAATCAATTCACTGGCAGCTGCTCGGGGCCTCCAGGACAGGAGGGCAAACCTTGGAGTTGAGGTCTGTGCATTGCTGATTAATTTTATTCTCATAGTAGGAAAAAAAGAGCTCCTGAAGCCTCTCATGACTCATTCATAGGAGCACTGCAGGCCCCAGTGGTACCTAGTGTGTATCAATTACAAGCTAAGCAAACAAGATGTCTTTGGTTCAAGCTTTGGGTGCTGATTAAGGAAGGTCTCCATCACACGGTGTCTGGCAGCTGCACAGACTCCTGTGGAACTGTATCCTGTTGCACAGGTTTTGTGTGTGTCCCTTAACCCCTTCCCTTCTTGAGGGACAGAACAGTCCCCCTGGAACAGAGAGGGGCTGTTAACTTTGTTGGACTTCCCATATTTCATTTAGGGAAAGAGTTTTACCCAAAATACCCAGAACCCAGAAGAAACCTGTTAGTTCTGTACCGTTGTGCCAGAGAAAGCTAAATTGAATATTATGAAAAGTTTCTTCATTTAAAGGGTTGTCCAGCCCTGGCACAGCTCCCCAGGGCAGTGGTGGAGTCACCATCCCTGCAAGGATCTAACATAAATGCAGATGTGGCACTTGGGGACATGTTCAGTGGTGAATTTGGCTGGGCTGTACTCAGTGATCTTAGAGGTCTTTTCCAGACTACACAATTCTGTGATTCTCTGGTGTTGTTGGACATGACCATTGCCTTGTGGACAGAGAGGATTTACACCCTGATCTCCTCCTCAGCCCACCCCCATTTTGTCCCAACATTCCTGAGAGTGCCAATTCCCCATTTTCCTTGTAAATCCAAAATGAACACGTGAGACCTCTCATTCAATGATGGATGAAATATGCTCACAAAACTGTCACACAGCACACTGTGTAATTTGTTTCCACGTGAAACAGAGCCAAATATGCATATTGGGCATGACTTAAGAAAAAACAAAGAGTGATATTTCATGATCTGTGTTAAAAATGTGCTTTCAATATTTTCTCCCCTGTGCAGGAGCAGTATGTGTTTGTCCATGATGCCATTTTGGAGGCATGTCTCTGTGGCAACACAGCCATTCCAGTCTGTGAGTTCAGATCCATATATTACAACATCAGCAGACTGGATCCACAGACCAATTCCAGCCAGATAAAAGATGAGTTTCAGGTAATTTCATATGTCTCAGTCACTGCAGTTGGTGCATTGAAGGTGTTTAATCAATTTCTGTGTGTTTTTTTGTGATTTCCAGCAGAGCAAACAAGGGGGACACTGAGCCAAGGTCTGATTTCAGTTGATTTTTGTTGTTATACTACTGGGTCAGGCAGAAATTTGTTTTTGAGCGTGGACTATTCAGCCTTCAGCAAGGAAAAAATTGTCCCCATCACTCCAGTAGAGCAAGGGTACTAATTTTCACACATGATGTTGTACTTATTTTAATGATTATTGTGTTGTTCGTTTCCTTCCATAATTTATACAGAAACATTTATGCCTCAAGGTGCCTTATTACCCATTCTTGTGGCTCATATGGTGCTTCCAAGCTTTGACAATCAACTTGTTGACAACCTTCCACGCAGGAGAGAGAGGGAGCTCAGTGAGCACTATTTTGGCTATTGCTAATTTTCAATTAAATGTGAATGAATCAGTTCACTGCAGATGTTTTGCCAGGTACCTGGTGATGAGACCCAAAATAATGGACAGCAAAAACTGACAAGTGCTCCATTAGTGCTCTTTGCCCAGGACAAGCAACAAAATAGGGGCTCCTCTGTTTCTTGTCCCTGTTCTTATCCCACCCTGGTAAATGGGCTGGGGACACTCCAGTCATGGGCCCTGTGCAGTTGTTCCTCTCACAAAGTGGAGAATTCACCCAGAATTCTGAACACTGAACTGAGTTTTCCAGTCTTATTCCCTATGAATCTATAATTCTTCCCTGTGAGGATGCTGGGGCCCTGGCACAGGTGCCCAGAGCAGCTGTGGCTGCCCCTGGATCCCTGGCAGTGCCCAAGGCCAGGCTGGACAGGGCTGGGAGCACCCTGGGACAGTGGAAGATGTCCCTGCCCATGGCAGGGATAGAATAGAGGGGCTTTAAAATCTCTCCCAAACAAAAACATTCTGTGGATCTGTGATTTTGAGCCAACATCAATGTAGGGAAAAAACATGTGGGGAATTTGGAGCAAGGTGAGTTTGATAGGAAAGAAAGAGACATCTACTATTTGTTGAGGCGACTCATAGTCAGAGTAAAAAGGTGGAGATTGCTTTAATTGCTTTTCCTCTCCCAGGAAAGTGTCTTTTGCAGCAAGAGAATGTCTTTTGGGATCCCCAGCCTGAGTCAGAGGCCTCTTTTCCTCCCTCTCTATGTAAAGGGAGAACGTGTGTCTTTTATCTGAAGCCTTACAGGGAATCATCAGGGTTGGTACAGTGAGATAAAGAATGTGGATCCCAACTGATGGCAGCTCAATTAAAAAAAGATCTGGTTCTATCAAGTGATAGCAGGTCTGTAAAAGTGTTTTTGGTTTGACATGGAGTCAGAGCCGAACTTCATCAAATGCTGTTTAAAAAAAACACTATTAAAAACTCAGCCACCGCTTGCTGGGTGTATTTTGTCATGATATGAGAGAGTATTTGTCACCTCTGTGCTTGTTCTTTTGAGCTGCCAGGGGCTGGCAGCTCCTGTGGGAAGGAACTGCTCCACTGTGCTTTGCATAAGAGGTTCAGTGTCTGTCTTGTTGTAGAATCTATTTTTACAGGATTTTGGCTCAGAGCGTTCCTCAGCGCTGATTGTCTGGATTTAATGCAAAAGCTGCTATCTCTGCTGCAATCTTTAGCAACCAGTTGATATAACTATAGATCTGTGCTTGCAGTTTGTGGTATTTAGGTCCCACTGGCCCTGAGGAAAGGCTGGATGTATTTCTCATGCTCTACATGTTGTCTGGACACACAAAGCTCACTCTGGAGAGTTTTTGTAATTGGAATCAGTACAGGAACAAGGGAGAGAGAGGAGCAGCATAAAACAGGCAGGAGTAAATCACTAGCAAGTCACCTGCCTGATTATCTGCACTGTCAGAGATCTGAGATTTCATGTTGTTTCCCCAGCCAGACTCCCTGCTTTCCATCTCCAGGCAATGCAGAACCTGAATAATTTAGAGCAACTATATTATTTCAAGTTTTATACTTTGACACATTCTTTTATCTTGGATTGTTTGACCTTCCTCTTTTCTTCATTCATAACCTCTCTGTGGCAGAAGTCCGGCTCTCCATAAGTTGTTTTTTTTTTGATTTGTTGTATTGGCCCCTAAATATTTTGTATTCTTCTGGCTGCAGAGAGTTCACTGTAGGACTCCATGGGCTTTGCTCAGGAAGGGGAGATGCAAAAGTGGAAATACAAAATGACATCAGACAGCCATTGATCTACCACCACTTAAGCACTGGTGCTAAGATGCATTCACTTTGATTTCTGAGTTTTGATCCTTGCTGACCAACCCAGACTGGTTTGTCAGGAGGCCTCCACAATGGGGAACACAAAAGTAAAATAGATTTAAAGAAACACAGTTTGTCAAGCTGTGGAAGAGGCAGATAACAGTCAAAGACTGACAGCAAGGCCCCAGAGATAAGGTATGACTATGTAAGTGAAGCATCCTATGTGTCACTTCAAAAGGAAAGTAGCAATCTAAGTAATATATAAAACAAATAGACTTTTCTGTTAAAAAAACCTCAAAATGACATTTTATCGGAGGTTTTTATAAGATAAGTCAGTAGTTTGAGGAATCACCAGAGGCTCTGAACACTCTGCTGTGTGTACAGGGTACACCTGCACAGGACCCACCTGAAGAGGGGAAGGATTTGTGCTTCCATCCTAAGGATGGTAAAAACAGGAGAAGGTTTCACTCCATCACCAGCTCAAAGCTGCATCTTATACCTGTGGCACCCATTTCCAACCTCTAGGAAAGAGCAGGAATGTTATCTAGCTGCTCTGTGGGTTTAGAGCTGGAAATGTCTGGGAGGTGTAGAGTGCTTTCAGTTTTTGCTGGAGCTAACAATGTTTGGAAGAGTTCCTCAGGACAATTTGCAAAACACAACATGTTACAACAGCCACAAGCTCCTTAGTTCTTCTTCCTTTTTATCTCTGGGTTGCCAAATGTTCTGAAGCTGAGTAACACAGAGTCCCCAGGCAGGTGCAAGGAGAGCCCTTTATTGCAAAAACCCGGCCTTCCTAAGCAGCTACCCCATACATCCCATTTAAGAACAACAAATATAATTCAACCAACCACCATAAGCCACAATGTGAGCACGTGATGGTACTATAACTTGTTTTTCTACCTCTAATTCAGCTGAGTCACTTTCCCATAGCCCATTGCTGCTTAGCTGAAGGCCTGAGCCGTGAATTTATAAGGCTAGCAAGGCCCTTATTTTATAAGTTTTTACCTATATGCAACAGCCAAAGCTCTGCTACTCTGAGTGCCTTTAAAACAAGCATTTTGCTGCATATGACAGAAGCAGAGCACACAGCCTCAAGCTGCACCAAAGGAAATATAGGTTGGAGATTGGGAAAAAAGTTTTTCATGGAAAGAGTGATAAAGTTCTGGAATAGCTGCCCAGGGAGGTGGTGCCCTGGGTGTGTTTAACAAAGCCTGGATGTTCTCAGGGCTTTAGCTGGTCACACTGACCCCGAGATGTGTTAGAAAGTCTCTTTTCCCAGCCTGGTGGTCAAAGGAGTCAGAACTCTTCAGTTCTTGTTCTCAATTCTTTCTCTGGCCTGCCAAGGTCTGTTCAGCGGGTCAGACAGAAGCACTCAGCCCACTCCTGGGGTGGCGTTATCTTTTTATACTGAAAACTACATGTACATTATTTACCATAACTTCCCAACACCTATCACCTATGTTAGTGAGCTTCTCCTCTAAACCAATCTAAAAGTGCCACCATCACAGCAGAAGATGGAGGCCAAGAAGAAGAAGGAGAGAGGCTGGACACACCCAGATTCCTCCATCTTGCCCTGAGCCCCCATTCTAAAAATCTCAAAAAATCTATTTTTCACCCTGTGATAAATTCACTATCATTCCACTTAAACTATTTGGACTTGTAATTCTTCGTATAAAGGTTGGTAATTGTTTTTCCATGGGTCAAGATCAAGGGCACAGGGGTCTTTGGGCTCTGTGCCAGGGTCTCTGAGCCCCCTGGGCAGGGGTTCCAGGGCAGCCAGAGGAATGTCCTGGGTTCCAACAGGATGTGGCACTGGGTGCGAGGGTATTATTGAGGGGTTGCAGCTGGGTGAGACTCGATGATCTTGGAGGTCTCTTCCAATCTGGTCAGTCTGTGACTCTCGGAGGTGACCTGCAAGGCGCTCAGGCTGTTTGTGTCCTTGTTTCCCAGACGCTGAACATCGTGACGCCGCGGGTGCGGCCGGAGGACTGCAGCATCGGGCTGCTGCCGCGCAACCACGACAAGAACCGCTGCATGGACGTGCTGCCGCTGGACCGCTGCCTGCCCTTCCTCATCTCCGTGGATGGCGAGTCCAGCAACTACATCAATGCTGCACTCATGGATGTAAGCACTGCTCTGCACACCCAGCGCGGCCTGACATGGGGTTATTCCCTCTCATGATGCTTTTCTGGTCTCGGGGCTTCTGCTGGTTAGAGTGACCGCGAGATGTGTTAGAAAGTCTCTTTACCCAGCCTGGTGGTCAAAGAGGGAGTCAGAACTCTTCAGTTCTCATTCTCAAGGTTGTTTATTGTTTCTTATATGTAAAATTCTCTCTCTGGCCTGCCGAGGTCCACTCAGCAGCACACTGATGCCGCCAAGGCAGTGTTATCTTTTTATACTAAAAACTATGTGTACATTATTTACCATAACTTCCTAATACCTACCACCTATGTTAGACAGTGAGCTTCTACTCTAAACCAATCTAAAAGTGCCAACATCACAGCAGAAGATGGAGGCCAAGAAGAAGAAGGAGAAAGGCTGGACACACCCAAATTCCTCCATCTTGCCCCCTGAACCCCCATTCTAAAAACCAAAAAAAAAAATCTATTTTTAACCCCGTGGCAGACTTACTATTATTCTACTTAGACTTTCATGGCTTGCAGGTCCTCAAATAAGGTTGGTCATTTTTTCCATGGGTCATAATCATAATCACAGGTGTCTTAGGCTTTGTGTCAAGGTCTCTGAGCCCCCTGGAAGTGGTTCGGGCAATCCAGGACAGCCAGAGGGATGTCCTGAATTCCGACATTCTGGGAGAATGGATCTAAAGAAAAAAAACTTATTTAGCTGTAATTTCTGAGTCTGGTATCTCCAAATCGGGCAAAGCACATGAATTTTCTCTTTGTCACCAAAATATGTCCTCCAGAGTATGGTTATCCCAGGGAAGTGGTCACAGCACCAGCCTGACAGAGTTCAGGAGGCTTTCAGACAAAACTTTTGGGCACTTTTGGGGATGGTGCTGTGCAGGGCCAGGAGTTGGGCTCCATGATCCTTGAGGGTCCATTCCAACCCAGCATATTCTGTTACATGCTGTTATTCTGTGATGACACACACCCTAGTGCTGCACCACACTGGTAGAAAATTATGGCAAAGGCATCCCTCAGTGTGCAGCCTGAGGCTGGATCACAGAAAGGCAGATGCACAAACAAATGGGGGAACAGCTCTTCCCATACATTGGTTTTGTATCCATTGGGAAGAGAAATGTTTGCCAGGTCAGCTGTTTGACAAGGATAATTTGCAGTGTGGAGCGAGTGATTGATATGATCTTATGCAGTTAAGAATGTGGGAGTGCAGGGATCAAATGTGCAAAATATTTTCAGGCTAAAGGATGTGAGTTGAGCTGATGTGACTCTGTCCGAAGGCGTTTTCCCTCGCTTTGTTTATAGCCTGGAATCTCACAGCATGGGTCATTTGTGGAGGATGAATTATGTTGATGGCTTCTTTTTGCTGTGCTGCCTTTGGACACAGATGTCTTTAAAGCCACTAATTATTGCAGTTGGAGTATGTGTAAATATGATCCAGGGTGAAATGCCATCATTTTTTCCCTGGCAGCAGCAGGGTCTCTGTTTTTTAATTTTGTCTATTCTTCAATCTTTGGGAAACAGCAATACTCTTGCATTTAAGATATTCAGTCAAACGGTCACAGGATTTATTTTAGGTTTTTTCAGCAAGGTTGTGATGTTTTCATTGCAAACATGCCTAAGGAAACTTGTTATTTTAAAGTGTGTTTAGTGGTTTTGCACATTTGCAGAAGCACAATCCAGTCTTTGGTTTCTTAGGGATTGGGAATGTTTATACATTTCAGCCCTCGTTACCTCAAATCACTTTGCAAATATTTGGATCCTTCCCCACAAAATTCCAGTGGATTAATTTTTTTTAGTACAAAGCAATTTTTCACCTGTCATTGAAATTCAGCCACTGTGATTTTCTCTGGCTCTCCTTTATCTTTCCATAAAGGATTCAGGAACTTTTGGGGACAAAAATAATCACAGGGGAACAGCCAGAATCCTACAATTTCATAGCTGTTCTTGCTGAGGTGTGAAGTCTTGTACTGAGCAGGGACTTTCAGAGGACAACCTCCATCCATCCCATATTGCCCTGAAAGGAGCAAAACTGTCCCTCACCCTCCCCTAAAACAATGGAACATAATCCTTAAAAAATGAGACTTAAGTCACATCATGAGTCAAGTCATGAAGAAGGGATGATAGATTTGTGTTTAATCCATGGGCTTTGGAGAAAAAACATGAATTTATGTGTCCCTAACATCATAATTGCCCCATAATCCCACATATGTTCTCTTGCATGAGTAATTCACACCTCTGTGTCACCTTCCCTCTAAAACAGGACAGTGAACCTGGTTCCTCACCTGCAGCAAGGAGCTGGGCAGGGTTTCTTTTTCTCCTAAAGGCAAACCCTACAAGCACAGATAACCTTCAGCCACGAGTTTTGCTAGATTTGCTACTGGCACACCATGAAAAAACCACAGCAGGAACATTCTGGTGTTTAATTAAGAGATAAACCTCAGTATTTTATTTGCCACTGTCTTGCCACCACTGGTCTGGTATTTAACAACTTTTGACCCATTCTGGTGTTTCTAGGTGCAGAATGCAGAGTGGGAAAAAATACAAAAGTCTGTTCTAGATGAAAATTTCCCAAGAAATAATTTCATTTTCCTTCTCTGTACATCACTTCCCATTACCCTCCTCACACGTGCACTCAGAAACCCCTTTTCCCCAGCATGGCCCAGCACTTCCACCCACATCTTCTTCACATGGAGGAGAAAAGGCAAACCCCACAAAGAGCAGCTTAACACTTCAGAATTTTATTATTTATTATTGAATTTATTATCTTCACTTTAAATCCAACGTTTTATTCTGCTGGAGGGTTTTTTGTGCTTTTTTTTGTTTTTTGGTTTTTTGGTTTTTTTTACCCCAGAATTAGCATGCCTTTTGATTCAAGTCTGCTTCACAGATGTACAGCACAAAGGACTGTGCAGTTTCCAGGCTCATTTAAGCCCTGCCTGCCGTGGTTGGGAAGCGATAAAGTTTTCAGCTTGTTGCCTTTCATCCCAAACATTCATTAACTCAGCCCTGCAGAGGTTGGGAGCACAGCTCCACCCCCTGGTGCTTAGGGAGGCTGAGGTCAGGGGGCCTTTTTGAGGTGAAAGAATAACAGCAGAAATTAAATGCCAATGTCACAGGCTCTGAATATGCACCATAAAGGATGGCTGGCTTCCAAACGTGCCACCTCTGTCACACTGCACCCCCAGGCAGCCCCAGCAGACGGGGCTAATCCCTTCTGGAGCTCCTCGAGGCCACTGCAGCACAAAGGAGAACATTTGCTTCCAGCTGTTTTCCTTCCAATTATTAATATTACTGATAGTCGTAGTAGTAATAGTAGAATTAGCATTATTTGCTGAGTCTCAAAATATAAATAATTGATTTGGGTAATCTCTGCTCTTGTGACACTTCTTTAATGAAATGTCTTTATTGGGAGCAAAAGAATCCCATTACGAGGCGTTCATTCATTGCGGGCCGATAACAAGGAGCAGGAGATGTGATTTGTATAATCTGGTTAAATGGCTCACACTGCCTCCCCACAGCCTCCCGGGTATAATATTCCTTTGAATAAAAGTTGATTGATTTTTTTTTTTTATTTTTTTTTAACTAATCTTACTCTTTTGTTAGAGCCACAAGCAGCCTGCTGCCTTCATTGTCACCCAGCACCCTTTGCCCAACACCATCACAGACTTCTGGAGGCTGGTGTTTGATTACAACTGCTCCTCTGTGGTGATGCTCAACGAGATGGATGCAGCACAGGTCAGTGGCTGTTCATTCCTGGCTCTTCATTCATTCCCTTCTCAAGTCCAGGGGGTTTGCATAGAGTCTCTGTTCCCATTTTATTGGGGTGAGTGCCTTCCCACTCCAATAAATAAATGAGGGGGAGCTGGAAAGTTATAGGTGATGCTTTGGGGTTTGAATGGAGAATAAGTCCATATGCCTGGCTCTTTGTAAGCTAATTCTTACTGTAATTAACAGGGATCATAGAAGGGTTTGGATGGGAAGGGACCTTAAAGACCATGACATTTCAACCCCCTGTCATGGCAGGGACACCTTCCACTATCCCAGGTTGCTCCAAACCCCATCCAACCTGGCCTTGGACACTGCCAGGGATCCAGGGATAGTCACAGCTTCTCTAGGAACTTGTCCCAGGGCCTCACCATCCTCAGAGGAAGGGATTTCTTCCTGATATCCCATCTAATCTGCCCTCTTTCAGCTTAATGCTATTCCCCTTTTTCCCATCACTCCACACCCTTCTGGAAAGCCCCCCTGCAGCCTTCCTGTAAGCCCCTTTTATGTACTGGGAAGTTGCTATAAAGTCTCCCTATTTATTATATAAATACTTTGATATAAAATTATGGAAAATATAGTTAAAATTATCAAAAAGTTTTATATTCATACTTTTATATATTACAAAATTACTTTGAGTTTGCAGCCAACATTTCCCTCCCAAACCCACTTTCTCCCCTTTCATATTTTTGTCTGTGTTTGGTTCAGGAAAATGCTCCCTACCACAGCCCCAGGATGCTTCATGTTTGCCTTTTTCACATGGCATTTCCAGAAGAATAAAACCAAGAGAGCTGAAATAATTTGAAGGATCTCTCCCCTGAGATTTCCAGTATGATTCTGTAATACTGAGAAATGTGCTTTGCACAGTTTGAGGATAATCTAGTCCTTTTATCTCTTTTTCTTTTCCTTTTTAATGTCTCAGCTGGGTTTTGGCTACTGGACACAGCATTATTTTCAGCATTTGAGCTTGCCAGGGGGGAGCTTTTGCCATTCCTCCTGCCCTGGTGTCTCCAGTCACCTTGCTGATGGGTGGCAGAGGAGAACAGCTTTCAAAAAAGGTGTAATCATGCAATTTGTGTGGAGAGTACATTTGGCATGGTCAATTCACCCATTACAGCCCTTATTCAATGAGAGGAGAGGAGTGTTGAGTTGGTACTTCATGGATTCATTTTTCATTTGTCTCTTCCATTTGTCTTACCACACTTGCAGGCAGTGAATTGTTGGTCTCTTTTTTGGGTGGTGATGGAGAATCCAATCACCCCAGCCCTTAAGGGGGTGTCCCATTGGGAGAGCTCAGTGGGGTCCCATTCCAGCCCCAGTGACAGCTATGATCAGCAGTGGGCTCTCCTGGTGCCCTGCAGGGTCCCACCACTCTGTGAGGAACCAGAGGTTCTCAGCATCTTCTGTTTTCCTCTTCATCTCCTTGATTCTGCATCTTGGTATTAAATCCAGAGACAAATTTCACCTTTTTTTCTTCAAAGCACAACCCAGCTTTTTCTGGAAATGACACACTTTCTCATACTCACTTCTGGGATAACACAAACCTTTCAGCCCCAGCCAGTGTTATTCTTGTGACTTTCTTTCACAAAGCTTAGGGGTTTTTTTCCTAGCAAAGTTTTGCTGCTCTGATGTGGTCTGTAGGCACAGGAAAGGGGATTTGGCAGTGCATGAAGTCACTTTGACAGTTTCTGTAGCACGGTGTCACCTCCCTCAGGAGTGCAGCCAATGCCAGAACACCCAGGTGGCACTGGAAGTTAAGGAGGATTTTAAAGTTTGTATTTTATGAGCTACCAGGACACCGTGAGACAGTTTGACATCACAGAATCATTTGGGGTGGAAAAGACCTCTAAGATGATTAAATCCAACTGTTACCTCAGCCCTGCCAAGGCCACCACTAACTCATGCCCCCAAGTGCCACACCTACGTGTCTTTTAAATCCCTCCAGGGATGGTGACTCCACCACTGCTCTGGGCAGCTGTTCCATTGCTTGACCATCCTTTCAGTGAAGAAGTTTTCCCTAATATCCACTCTAAGGTTCCCCTGGCACAGTTTGAAGCTGTTTCCTCTCACTCTGTCCCTTGTTCCTTGGGAACAGAGCCCACACTCGGGGATTTGTGGACAGTGAGAGGGTTTCCCCCCCTGAGCCTCCTTTTCTCCAGGCTGAGCCCCTTTCCCACCTCCATCATCTGCTCCTGGGGGCTCCAGACCCTTCCCCAGCTCTGCTGCCCTTCAGACCACGCACAACCATTGTGTGGCCTCAAGCCCATCAATCCAGATCTCTGTGCAGGTCCCTCCTACCCTCCAGCATATCATCAGATCCATTGTGGAGAGGAGAAGAGAACTTGGCACTGTCCTTGCATCACAATATTGTCATTCCCTGTCTGTTCATCAGTGCCTGATCCCAGGCTGTGCCCTGAGTTCAGGGAAAAGGGAAATAAAGCCCTGTGGAGGTCAGAGCACGCACACTACACTGCAGTGTTCAGCAGAGTGCACACCTGTGTGTTTGGAGGGGTGGCCATTCACAGACCTGCTCTGGAAGAAGCAAATTTTCCATCCTAAGGAAAGATTTCATTTTTTTTCTGCTTTCCACTGCACCTTGAGGTTGTTTGCCAAAGCTCAGGCTCAGCTCACATCTCCCTGCCTGAGGGACAGATGCTTTGAGAGGAGATCACTAGGCAGCTTGAAAGTCTGAAGGAAGAGTAAAGAAACCCTTCAAAGGACTTGCTTGTGTGGTCTTGGCTGGCTTGCTTAATCTTGAAAAACTAACAAGGGCAAAGATGCATAAGATTGTGTGAATATCCCACCCAATTTCAGTCCTATATGATCAAAGGAAGAACAGGAGTGCAGAATTAATGCAGCCACATGCACACACTCCACGTTGTTGCTGGCAGTGATTGAACTTGAAAAGCTGGAGATCAAGTTCAAATGAGCATCTGGGGGTTTCAAAACTTGTACAAAATTACATTTGAAAATAGAAAGGGAAAAAAAAAAGCCACAAAGAAATACAGTCTTAGCAGAAACTGCTAATGAGATCTCATGCAAAATATTTTTGCGCCATGATCTATTTCCAGCTGGATTTTAAATCCTTAGATTGTAATTTGTGTGCACAGGGTGGGTTTTGTCCTTTCAACTCAGTAATATCAGCACAAGAAAAAAGACTCCCAGCCTGCTTCACAAACTTCAGAGGTGCAGCTGTGGTTCACCCTGAAACCAGAGCTGCTCTTGTGCTATCAGAGCAAACTCACTTTCCTTCTCCTGCTCACTGGTAGAGCCAGAAAATGAAAAAGTTCATCTTACAGAAAAAAAAAGAAATTTCAGTTTGTTTGAATTAAGATTAATTTTCTTGGTGCCTGTACAGTTTCCTCATTTTTACCAGATCTCTATGGTTCCTATTAAATTTATCTACAGACACTAATCTTTCAATGTTCCTGTTAAATCTCTGCCTTTACAGAAGTTTCATTTTTCAGCCACCTTTTCTGCACCTCTACACTCAGAATCCAATCGCTTCCAAACTGTGTTCATATAAAAATAAAGAGGAAGAAAATCCCAGGCCCTAAAATACATTTTTTTTTTCTTCATATTCAGGATATAAAATGTTTTATTAAGCTAGAATGAGATCTTGTCTGAACAAAGCCACGATATACAAATTGGTGATGGGTTTTGAGCTGGTTATAGATCCAAAAGAAATTATTAGATATGTTAGTAATTAAGATTTCTATTTGGTTTTGTGTTTTTTTTCCTAGCTCTGCATGCAGTACTGGCCAGAGAAGACATCCTGTTGTTATGGCCCAATCCAGGTGGAGTTTGTTTCAGCAGATATTGATGAAGATATCATCAACAGGATATTCCGGATTTGCAACATGGCCAGGGTAAGACAGGAGAAATACTACATTCCCTAGTTATTCTCAAAACCACATTTTGGCTCAAGGAAGAGGCAGAGCCAAGACTTGTGGTTTAGAGATGCAGAATATCTCACCTAGGAATGAAATTCCACTGCAGCTACTTCCTTTAATTAACATTTAATCAGCCTGCATTGCTAAAGGACTCTTGGCTGAAGGCAGCGAATGGATGATATGAGCTGAAAATCTGTATTTAAATGGTGAGCATTTTTCTGTGTGTATTTGAGAACAATTCATCACTTAGTAGCCAATATAAAGCCATCAGTATTGCAGGAAATAAACTGGGATGGTGTCAGCAGCTCTCCATCTGTCAGCTCCCAGGCAGCATCTCTGAAGACAGATGCAATGTTTACTGGCTAGACTGGGATTCCCAACTGCCACTGCTTTCCCTATAAATAAGCAACTGCCATTTCTGCGAGCAGCTCTTTGTCTGTGTCCCTCAGCCCCAGGACAGCTGAAATGATAGAAACAAAGTTTATCTGCACACCGAGCCTTGGCAATCCAGCTTCAGGGCTGCAGGAAAGGGCTTCAGCAGAGGACTTTTCTCTCATTAGTCGTTTCCCAGATTGATTATGTTTCCTTTGTTGTTCCTCTTTCATTTTTTTTCTTGTCAGAAATGGAAGCAGGCTCTGCAGATTGTATTTCCGTGCAGTGTAAGCCATCAGTGTCTGCATGGTCAGAGCCTGTGCGGCCGTTCAGGTGTGGCACTGCAGAGGGAACCTTGTGCTCCAGCACAGAAATTGATAAACTGGTTGGAGATTAGACACCTTCCTGTGTCCCAGGGGGTGATAAAGCTGGTCAGAGCAAGGCTCTGTGGCTCTCAGATGGAGCTGGCCCATGGATGCAGGGCTGCAGGGCAGGAGCTGTGCACTCACAGCTCTCTGCACTCATCCATGTCCAACACCACGGCCGCTGCCGGCAAATTCGTGAGGATCCTTTCCCTCCACAACCCCCAGAGAATATCTGAGGGCTGCCTCTGCTTCTTATGGCACAGCACAGCACAGCAAAGAGACATTTGACCTGTTTGTGCAGTTTGATGGAACTTTAAAACAAGGCTCAAGTGCACTTGGTGTCTGCTTGGCTCTGTAACAATTGTTATCCAGGTTAGACAAAAGCCCTTGTTTCTGCACTCTACCTGTCGCCCTGTTTTTTAAAGTTCTTCTAAGCCTTCTGAAGTTTACATTCTTGTAATCAACTTTCTCACACACTTTCTGTAAATAATTCATTGTTTTGTGTTCTTTTATGGAGGAGGAGAAATTTAATAGACTGTTAGTTTGTCCAGTGTCATTGGAGAGGTGGCATTATCACCCTCCAATCCACTGTCACTTTTAGAAATCTATAAATGTTAGAGTCAGAAATTAACCTTTCTCTCTTTTTTACCTTGGAAAGTCCAGTGTCCACATAATTTTATTTTGTGTCCTAAAGTGACACTGTACCCAGCATGGAGAATACCAGCACTGCTGGTGCAGGTGCAGAGGGGAGGCTGCTGTGCAAGCAGTGCTCCTGATAGAAAAAGATTTTAAAATCACAGAAAATTCAGGGAGTTAGAAAGAAAGTTAGGCTTAGTAGGCCCTGGGAAAATGTTAAAGGTAGGCCCTGGGAAATGTTCGGCCTTGTATTTGCTGATCATATACTAAAAGAATAGAAGAAAGGATTTTATCAGAAGGCTAGCTAAGAATAGAATAGGAAAGAATGATAACAAAGGCTTGTGGCTCGGACTTTCTGTCCGAAGAAAGTTTTGTTAGAAATAACTACCATAGGCCAATCAAAGATCCACTTGTTGCGTTCCACAGCAGCAGATAACCATTGTTTACATTTTGTTCTTGAAGTCTCTCAGCTTCTCAAGAGGAAAAATCCTAAAGAAAGGATTTTTCATAAAAGATGTCTGTGACATAAGAGGAATTTCCGACAGCACCCCTGACACCGAGATCTCTTAATAAAAGCATATAATCATAACAATTCTGTGATGATGTGTTGGTGAATGCTGAGCCTGCCCTCCCTGGCTGGCCCTGAGCAGCTGTGTGTTGCAGCCGCAGGACGGGTACCGCATCGTGCAGCACCTGCAGTACATCGGCTGGCCGGCCTACAGGGACACCCCTCCCTCCAAGCGCTCCCTGCTCAAGGTGGTCCGGAGGCTGGAGAAGTGGCAGGAGCAGTACGATGGCAGAGACGGGCGCACCGTGGTCCACTGCCTGTGAGTAAGGGCTGGGGAATGGCTGCAGCCTCTTGTGTTGTGGGTTATGGCTCTAGAAATCCTTCAGGCTTCAGCTGGGGGAAAGGCAGTTTAAGTACATTTGTACTGCTAACTTCACACACTTCTGCACACTTGTACTTAATTTACAACTTCATGTACTATCTACATTTATAATAATAACCTCAAGTTGAATATTGTATTGTATTATAGTATCCTGGCCCAGGGATTTTGCTGATTGCAGTGAGAGATAGCTCCAAGAGGCCTGGTATGTTATGGGTCTTGTGTCTGGAGCACAGACAGAGCTGAAGCAGCCCTGCCATGTACCCAGCTCTGAGCACAGAGCTGCTGTGAGCCCAGAGCAGGGGTGTGCAGCACTGCAGTCCCTAAGCTCCCCTGTGCCCTACTCCAGGGGGACAGGGAAGCTCCCCTTATCCCTTAGTCCTTCCATCCCTGCCCAGTTCTACCGGTCTCCACTTTCACAGACTCACAGGATGGATTGGGTTGGAAGGGACCCCAAACACCACTCAGTTCTAGTGGACTCCTTCCACTATCCCAAGGGTGCTCCAAGCCCCGTCCAAACTTGCCTTGGACACTCCCAGGGATCCAGGGGCAGCCACAGCTTCTCTGGGCACCCTGTGCCAGAGCCTGCCCACCCTCACAGGGAAGAATTCCTTCCCAATATCCCATCTATCCCTGCCCTCTGGCAGTGGGAAGCAATTCCCCTTTGTCCTGTCACTCCATGCCTTTGTCCAAAGCCCCCCTCCAGCTCTCTTGGAGCCCCTTCAGGCACACAAGCCCTTGAACATCAGAGACCTTCCATCAGCAATCTCTCCATTGGAGACCTGTCCATGGGCTGTGAGCTGTGTGTGCTGTCCTTCCCCCAGCCTCACCAGCCCCTCCTTGCCCTGTCTGTCCCTCTGCCAGGAACGGTGGTGGTCGCAGCGGCACCTTCTGTGCCATCTGCAGCGTGTGTGAGATGATCCAGCAGCAGAACATCATTGACGTGTTCCACATAGTGAAAACGCTACGGAATAACAAGTCCAACATGGTGGAGTCACTGGTAAGGCTTCTTCCTGCTCATTCCCAACCCCAGTGTGTGGGCAAGGGACTTCAGGATAGGTAAAAAATGTCAAAATTAGTTCAGGATTAATCAAAATGAATGGGAACATGGAGATATCAGAGTTAAAATTGGTCCTGTTTTAGCATGTTCAGTGAATCTTCCTGCTTCTCCTTCTGGGAAGAGGGGATGCCCAGGCAGAGAGGTGGACACTGGGTCCCATGCCCAGCTACCTCAGGAGGTCAAACCCCACAGATCTGTCACCATGGCTGTGGGAAGAGTGGGATTTGTCCTCCTGTCCATGCAGGGGTTTGTCCTCCTGCCCAGCCCAGTGCTGGGTGTTGTGACACATCTTAAAACCAGGAAAGGAGAACAGTCCAGCCTCAGGCCTGGCTCCCTGCAGCCCAGGAGATTAAACTGTCCTGAATTCAGTCATCTCCATCCATCACTCTGAGCTCATGCCTCAGAAGCAACACGTGCAGTGAGGGCTGGAGGCAAATAATGAATGGTCCAGACTGGGGCTGTCTCTTTGAGTGCTTTTCTCTGCATTTGATGACAACATCTCCCAGCCATGCTTGCTCAGGATCACTCAGAAACACAACCAGTGTTTGCCTGCTCCTGCCAAAGGGTATAAGAAAGAGGGAGGAGGTATTTTTACTTGTAGGATGAGGCTCTGAGGAATTTTCCCATATCCTAATGTGTGACCATGTTCACAGGGGTCTCAGGTTTAGGGAAGAGACAAGGATCTGACTCCATGTTTCAGAAAGATTAATTTATTATTTTATGATATATATTACATTAAAACTATACTAAAAGAATAGAAGAAAGGATTTCATCAGAAGGCTAGCCAAGAATAGAATAGCAAAGAATGATAACAAAGGCTTGTGGCTTGGACTCTCTGTTTGAGCCAGCTGGACTGTGATTGGCCATTAATTAGAAATAAACACATGAGACCAATCACAGATGCACCTGTTGCATTCCACAGCAGCAGATAATCATTGTTTACATTTTGTTCCTGAGGCTTCTCAGCTTCTCAGGAGGAAAGATCCTAAGGAAAGGTTTTTCCATAAAAGATGTCTGCGACACTAATGCCATTCCTTTGTGTCCTCTCTTTCAGGAACAGTATAAATTTGTATACGAGGTTGCACTGGAATACTTGAGTTCCTTTTAGCCCAGCCAAGGGAGGGGACCCCACAATGTGCCAGACCCCAAACTCTGGTGGATGCTTTTCCCCTGTCCCACACTGGAAGGCAGTGACAAGTGTGGGGAAGAAAACTTCTCCTGCCTTCTCAGCAAGAGACTGAGGTTGCAGAGACCTCGCTGGAAGGAGGAGGCGATGCCTGTGTGTGCTGCTGCCTGCTTTCTATGGGAACATCTACTGCTTCTTAAATAACTTACTGTAAAAATTAGCAACGTGGGAGACAGGCTGAAAGACTGGACTTTCTAATCCCCTCTGACTTCTCTCCTCTTTTGGATTGTGTTTTTGTTCTGCTTGCTGCAGAGTGGGGAAGGAATGAAACCCTTAGGAAATTCTCTTTTAAATGTCTCCTTTTTAATTTATAATTTTGTTCTCAAATCCCAGCCTTTTAATTTTTTAATTTCATGCAGCAGTCATTTGGGAAAAATGAGATAGCCATAGGGGATACATGAAATGTTTCATTACAATTTGTCTACCTTATCTGTTTCCTTTTATTTGTTTTTCCTAATGAAAGGGCCAACACACACATATAAAAAACAAAAAAACTATGCTGGAATTCTCTTCCCAAATGTAGTCCCTTTAAGCATGAAAATAGATGGTGGAGATGAGAAGCTGTACATGGAACTGCTGCCTCCACAGAAATATTTCCTCCCAGTTTCTGCTCAACTTCAGGGCTGTGCATGACCCAGCTCCATCCCTCTAGTCTGTGTCCTTTCACTGCTGGTGAAACTGTTGAGGAGTTTCCCAGGCACTTGGACCTGAAAGTTGAATATTTGCATCAAACAAATGGCATTCATCTGGCAGCTCTGGTGACTTGGTCACCACATTTCCCAAGTATTATCTGGGGTGCAGTGTGTCTCTGACAAACAGGGTATGAAGTAGGTATTACTGCTCATATACTATGGTTGACTATTTTTTATTTATTATTTGTATTGCTGTAGAACTTAGGAGCCCTAGTCACGCCAGGACCCTGCTGAACCAGGCACTGTGCAGGCAGACAGCAAAGAAAGTTCCTGCTCAAGAGTTTCAAAGTCTGAAGTTCTTAAAATTGAATTTGGGCAAGATTTCCTCACTATTGCCAGTGGCCCTACAAGCTTCAAAATTGTGACCTATTGGAGCTGTAGGAAAGGTGATGTACATACACAGGAACCTGTTCTGACACCTGTAAAGAGAAGTGCTAGCCCAGCACAGCAACTTCTCTTCTTAAGCAAAACAGCTTTTGTTTTATTCTGCAAAAATGCCTGTGCAAGTCTCCTTCTCTGAAACAAACACCAGATGTGTTTTGCCACAGTTGTGGACCTCATTCTGACTTCTTAGCAGCCAAGAAATTGCTTTTCTGAAAAAGTATGTTTAAGTAGTTAATCACTAAGGTCTGCAGGGTAATCTTGGGAAAAAAATAATTGAATGAGCAAGGCTTTACAATAATTAGTGTTTCAATTTAGCCATTTATTTATCTTGAGGGTGCGGGATATGAGGTTGCTCTGTGTGTAAAATGGATTCTGGGGTGTAGGTTCTCTAAATTCAGACTTGCTAAAAGATAGACTGGAGGTAAGAGTTGAAGGAAACTTTAATTTTCTTATCAGCCTGTAGTTTTCCACCCTCAGGAAAATCCTCAGAGGCTGCTGGGAGCTCTGTCCTGGCACAGAGCATGCCACAAGTTCAGAATGTTTTGCCAATTCTGTCTGTGAATTCAAAAAGCACCTCTGCTTCACGATCATTCTTTCTTCAATAGTCACACCCTCACTTTGACCAGGAGGGATGGAAATGAAATCTGGCAAAAGCAGCTCTCAACTCAGCCACAAACCAGTACCCAACCAAACCACTGTCACCCACCAGGACCTGCACCAGCCCAGGGAAGGATGCTTGGAGTTTCATTAATACTCTTCTTGATAAGAAAAGGATGCTGAACCACCTGGGGTTTCTCTAAGGAGCTTTGGATTCTTGGTTTTAATACCATGAAGGTCTTAACCGATCATGAACCACCTTCTCACAGGAGCCTCTGGTTTGTCCTTTCTGTTGCCTGCAAAAAATCAACTTTAGTTCCAGTTGGAGCTGTCAAGGGACTGGTCTGAATTGGTTGTTTTGTTGTTTTGGTTTTTTTTAATTTTTTTTATTCAACAACACAATTCAGCAGGAAAAATAAGTAGAAGGCAAAGTGAAACTATGAGATAAAAGTGAGAGGAAAAGGATAATATTGGTGTTTTGATTACAGGTGGCTGGATGGAACAGTGTAGGTCAGGTGCTGGGAGAGAAAAAGGAAGAGGGAATTCTAATCCCAGGAAGGGATTTTTCAACAACTGCCTAGGTATGAAGAAACTACAAGTCAGCAAAGTGGTTTTGACTCTGCTGACTCCAGAAAGCCAAAGGGAACCACTCCCTGTGGATACTATGGAAATATTAATTAGTAATTAGCATTCTGTTAATTTTACATAGAAGATAGCACAGTGACAGGTCTCCCTGGTGACTTAGGGGAGTGCAGCCAGCACCGAGGGTGACAGCTGGGCTAAGGGAACAGGGAGGTGCAGAAATGCCACTATCACTGAGGTGTGAAGTGTAGGAGGTAATTTGGGCTTAACTTAAAAGAAAGTGGATTGAAATGCCAGAGTTAGGCCCACAGGAGGGGTGTGTGAGTGAGGGGAAGGACGTGTGGGATGAGCAGAGCAGCACTGGCAGTGCAGCGCTTTAGGGTCTGGAGGTGGGTTTGGATGTGTTTTATGGTATGAAAACTACAAAAGGGTCAGGTACCTGTATCAGCTGGCCCATAGCAACTCCCCGTGTGCTCAGCCCTCTGCAGAAGCCAAGTGATGTTGGCACAAACTGCAGGGAATGACATTTAAGCTAAATTTTACATTTGGTAGGAGCTCGATGCAAATGTCGGTTCCCACAGCCCAACTGTTAGTCACAGCTTATTATGTGGCCACTCAACCATGTGTGTGAACTTGCTAATGTCCTGCCTAAAACCCATATGGAAAGATACTCAGCAGACACTGCAGATTGTGTTGCCAAATTGTTATAAATTCCTGCAGTTACAGTGCTTTTGGGGGACTGACCCAGCTCCAGTCTGTGTTGGCTCAGGGATCTTCATGCTGTTCCTCCCTGCACAGTGCATATATGCCAAGTGTGAATTAATGATGAAGGGAATTGTGTGGAAAAGCTCACTTTAAATCACTTTATTACCTTGAGGTTGTTTAAACCCTAGAGAACAGCCCATAGTGAAGTAGGTAATGTGTTTGAAGCAAGATTATGGGTGATGGGTTTGTTTTCATGGGGAAAGAAAGGAATTATGAGATGAGATAAAGGAGGTTTTCTCACTCCTGGAAGGATTAATAGTCAGTGTGAGCTTTTCAGCCTAAGCATCCCCTGCTGTGGATGAAAAGTGATAATGTGTAGTAAAAAAAAGGTGAATTCCTCAGTGACTGAATCTTAGGCTGGAAAAAAATATCACGTTGACAATATTTGAATGGACATAATGAAGATGAACTTATTCCCATGGAGACATCCTTCAGAGGTGAGGGGAACTGTTTGTGATAGCAGAGTTGGTGTAAAGTTTGGAATGGAATACAAGGAAGTAGAAATAGTTAGTTTGGGGTCATTATTTCATATAGGAGTTAACCAACATCTTAAATTATTATTGATGTAGCTGCAGCAATGAATTCCACTGGTTATCAGGAGTTTCTAGCCTTTTATTCTGGAGCTGTAAACTCTCTAGGAAAAAAAACAACAAAAAAAAAGGTCCAGTAGCCACATGGATCTCACAGTAGTGAATTTAAGCCTGTGGGTGCTAGAGTGGCTTTTCCATTTACTTTCCACAGGCCCTGCAGCAGCAGTTTGTGGGATTTCCCTTGGGAATCTCAAGCCAGGGATTTCTGGTCACTGCTCTTGGTGTGCTGTAGAGTCAGAGGAAGGAGAGAGGCTCCTGCAGAGGGTGGTTCAGGAGGCAGTTAAACCAGTTTCCATCTGAAAGAAAAGGAAAGGAGAAGAAATCTCCTTTGGGAGAAACCAAATATTGGAGGAGAAGGCAAATGAAATGGATCCTGGAACAGGTAGGAAATTTGCACCTTGCTCTCTCTCCCTCATTCTTGCACAGCTGCTCTCATCTCACTCTCCTGAGTTCCTGCCAAGATCATAAAAAACACATAATGTCACATTCCCTGCTGTGGAGATGGAGCACTCGGAGTGTGACAGAGGGAATAAATCCTGAGGGACAAAGATAAAAGAAGATTTGCTCAAGAGAGGAATCTTCAAATGTGAGGTGCTTCTATCTGTCACACTCGCAGAATTTTTAGTAAAGTCACAGAGCAGTGCACAGTCCTGGCATGGTCCTGGATGGGCAATGTGGTGGGAAAGTTCCCCTTGGAAAACTTCATTGTCCTGTAATAAATGTGAGCAATCCACTCCATGATGTTGGCAGCACAGTTAATTTCTGTGATCACTCCAGCCAGTGAAAGGGACATCTCAAGACCTTGGTGTGAAACTGCTGCATTTTCATTTGAGAATCTTTAATTTGTCTTAAGTGTACAAAAGACAGTTGATCACTTTTTTTTTTTTTTTAGGAAAATAAAGGGGGCCATGTGGCAAAAGTGGCAACATTTATTCAGTATAACCACTGCCACCGGGTCAAAAATTCCATATTCCTGCTGTGTGAGGGCAGAACAAAGCACTGCAGCTGCCCTGCCCAGACAGAGGAACAGGAGGAGCCAGCTAAGTCAGAGAGACAGATGTGAGCCGTGAGGATCCTGTTAACCCTCCTGTGCTCCTGCTTATTTAGATTGCAGTCTTCTATAGCCATACATACATAATATACAATTTCAATGCAAGTGCTCTTTCTTTCCCTGTTCCCAAAAATACCTCCAGCTCTTTTTCCTCGAGGGTGAGCCAACAGCACAGCGAGCAAAGCCCAATTTCTGCAGTTTTGGCAAGGACCACAAGGAAAATCCATCATGTATTATCTGTTCATTGACTTGGAAAAGGTATCAATCATCTGCCTCATATGCATACTTGAAGAATGTACAATTTGCTCAAACTGTCAAGCAGAATCATGCATTTTCATATACCACCAAATCCTGGTGGTACAGAGTGTGATGGAAAGAAAAAAATAGAGGCAAAAACTTGCTGACTTCCAGTGACCTCTAGTCTATAACCATTAACTGCTGTGTTAAAATATTTTAAAAGTTTCCCTTGTGGAAAAAAAAAATAAACTATGTTCAGAATATCCTACAGTTTAATGTTGGACTAGCAGAATGTGAAAACCTGGCAGGTTTTCCAGTTTGTAAAACCATGAGGCATCTAAATCAGTCTTTCCATCCTCATCCCAGTTCATGCAGCAGATTTTCCACCACTATTCTGTTTTCAACCTGAGCCTTAAAAGACAAACTAATGCAGCAGACTGAATGCCAGATGCTGGTGTTCCCATAGTGTTTCCTGGTAGGGGGGAAAAGATTTAAAAGGATGAAAAGGGAAAAGAACAAGCTAAAATGGTTTTTCTTGGAATTCAATTCAACGAGCTGTTTCTGAGCAGTATAAACACGAGCCAGTCCATGGCACTCTGGAGTTACAGGGTGAAAATGCTGTTGATGTCCCTTAGGGACCAATTCTGGTATTTCATATATAGGTACCCAAGAGGTATCTATACATGAAATATCAGGATTGGTTCTGATATTAGTGGTTCCTTTGTGGAAGCAATTGTCACAGCAGGAATGTTTCATTGGGGATCTGTTACCCTGAAATGCCACCCTTTGGGACGCCCTGTGAGACACCTCAAGTGTGTTGCACTGGATGGATTTCCTTGTGTGAGTACATCATCTTTCAGTGAGGGAATCCCCAGGAACTCTTCTTTGTGTGAAATAATTGAAAGGAGTGTGTTTTGGGGGATGGAAGAGGAAATGGGGCCAGCACTTTACAAGCTTTCATGAATTTAGGCACTCAGAGACTCCCCAGGACAAACACTGCTCAGTGTTTCGCATTGCTGACAGTCAAACCAAACTTCATGTGCTGGACTTCCATGTACCTGGAGCAGAACTGGAATTACCCCCTCATTGCCCTTCTAGCCCTTTCCTGCATTGCCAGCATTTAAACACTGTACTTCTATGCCAAAAGTTTGAGCTGCATCCTTAACACCTCCCTTAACCCACCCCGACTAACCGCAGTG